CCTGGAACTGAACTGCGGTCAATGGTGCTGCAGTCATGGTTGGGTCTGATAGTGGCTCAATGGGATCTGGTTCAAAGAAAGCTTGGACAATTCCTCTAGGACTGAAGAATGGCGCTGGTGCCGGTACTGTTGAAGGAGTTGATGATGAAGATGCTGAAGCAGAGGAAGCGTCGTCAAGGTCCATCAATAGCTGATGGAATAGGAGGCAGTGCAAATCAACAGGGTCAACAAAGGAGCAGAAGCAATGGCAACGGCGGCAATAGGAGATGAAATGGCAACAGGAGCTGCAGCAACAAGAGGAGGAGCGCGGTGGATATCCAGCAGTCAATCGAGTCAATCGAAGATGGAATTTATGAGCTTTGTGAGCTTTGTTATCCTTGTTATCCTGCGAACGACCTGCGAGCGAATCCTTCGTCGCTTTCCAACAGTTCGGAAGATAACAGCTCGACCGATAAAGATTCAAACGACGAGAACTCGCTTGTCGACGCGAAAGATAACAGCTCGACCGATTCGCCGAACTGTTATCTTCGTCGTCGTTTGAATCGTTCGCTTGAACAACTGCAAGCCAGTTCAAACGACCAATGCCGGTCCTGGGTAAGAGACCAACTGCCGATCGACCAACAGCGGGTAAGAGACCAACTGCCGATCGACCAACAGCCACATGAACAACAAGAACAACTGCACGGAGCGATCGATCGCTCGTGATGTTGATGAAAAAGTGAGGAGTTTGCTTCGAAGATATAAGGCAAGCATGGCTCAGCCTTCCCGAAGCATGATTCAAGTGAGGAGTTTGCTTCGAAGATATAAGGCAAGCATGGCTCAGCCTTCCCGAAGCATGACTCAATGCATGACACACAGGCCGAGCCTTATATATGCATTCGGAGCTCATTTTTCGACAAATTCTGTTAACTTCTCGATCGCGACCTCTGCTGTTAACTCGATCGTGACCGACGAGAGGCAAGGTGAGGTGATGCAAGGCTTTGCCGGTGATAGAGATAACAGTATTAGCAGTAACAGTATTGGCTCCTGCAGTGATCGGTTGATCGTATACGGTGGATTCCTGCATGAGTCCACGTGACAATATAGGATCCTCATCGCAATTTCGATCGACGATAGGATGGAATGGGAGATTGCTTTCGAGCGAATCAAATGGTTCATCCTCATTGAGATTACGATCGTCAACAGGATAAAGAAGAGGGTATCAAGAGATGACAAGCTACAGATGAAGAGCGCAAGAGGAAACTCAGGAGCATCTGCATCAAGGGATAGCAATCCATTGAAACCATAAGGGATAGACATATAAGAATAAGAATGGAGTAACATCTCATAACCTCGCATGCTACCATGCGACAATACCATTGTGCATTGATTAATCTAAAGATCTAAGAGATGTAAAGTTTGTATTTCCAAATAAGTGAGCAGTTATTGATTATTTTCTAGAATAAGCCTGCTAATTGTAAAGCTGTAAAGCTGAATTGTAAGCTGTATCCCGTCGCACATCACGGATGGCTCGGCATGGGGGTGCATGCCGTCAGCAAATAGCTTGATTCGGTTCTTCAGGGATACTGCAAAGGTTTTCAACTCTTCTGCACAGATCTGACAGCCTTCTTTTTAGAATCTTGGAGGAGAGGAAGACCTTGTCTTGCTTCCGCCCCTCAGCTGCAAGCTCATTGTTGTTTCTCCTTTGCATGGGACTGTTCAAGTTGCTGCTTCTCGCATGACAATGCTTCAGGTCGTCATATGCCTTCAGATGATTCTGTACTTGTCGTTGTAGCTGCTGTTTTTAGAAAATTGCAGGTCCGACTAGGATACCAGGCACGAATAGGATTGAGAGCTTTCACGCATCTGTCTTCTCCCGGGTTGAACAATGCAAGGTTTCTACCGATATGGTAGCTAGGGGCAGTAGTGGGGGTCACTTGTACATGTCCTAGGTAGTAGAGGTCGGTCCTTGAGCACAGGCCTGGGCAAGAATTCATCAAGGACAGTGGGCTACAAGCTAACTTGCTTGGAGCATATACGACGAAAAAGGTCGATCCGATCGTGTGCTGCACCCATGACTTATCCTACAGAATTTTTATGCCATGTGCTTGATGTTGACTAGGAGTCCTGGCATTGATTGTTGAGTGGGTTCGCAAAGAAGCTTTCCAATGAGCCAAACTCATCGTGTAATCAGAGCCGAGCAAGTCTTCGGTTGGACGCAACTCCAGAGGTTTGGCTGGAGATGCAAACCCTCCCCAACGTTGGAGTTTCTTGTTTGGTGTCCACGGCCTCACATTTTGCAAAGTCATCTTCTGCGTGGGCCAGTGCTTTTCTTTAACTTGCTGAGAAGGGCGGGTGCCACAACGGGCGTACGTTTCAGACCACAGCCGTTGCTAAAACTATCCCCCAGGTCCATAACGTCTTGTCCAGAAATCCCCAAGGACTCTGCCCTGGCCATGTAGTACGCTAGCAAAGACAAGTACGCAGACTCGGCCGCACTTGTTAGGACTCGATGGCCATTTCCTATCTGTGTCTTTGCCGGATTCAAAAGCTCTTGATGAGGTAGTTCATCAAGGAGCCGTTGTAGATTGTCATCTCTCTTTGTCTTGCTTCTAATCAATCTACCTTCAATCTGCTCTTCAAATGGCAACAGCACAACCATGTTGCGTCCGCCCTTTCCAATGCGGCCTGTGCGCCCGCAACGGTGGGTGTACTCTGTCACGCTTTTCGGATAGCCATACTGCGACAATGTTGAAAGTAGAGAAAGTTAGTGCCAACCAAACGAAACCAAACCTAAGGAGCACCAAGATACGGTGCAGGGCAGTATGTTTTGCTCACCTGGAGAACGAGGGAGACATCGGGATAATCAAGACCTGCGAATAATCAAAGCCCCGCAAAAGAATGTGGGGGTTGGAGGCAAGTATATGACCGTAGCTACCAGACAACTCATGCGACTCACCTCTGGCTGAAATATCGGTGGTGAACAGCACTGCTTTCTTTGCTTCTCTGAACGCTTGGCTCGCTTTGGTTCTGGCCGACTGTGACATTTGGGAATGCATCTGAAAAACTTTGGCATGCTTCTCCATTCCAACGGCCATGAATTCCCGAAAGAACTTGACCAATCTGGTGGTGGGCAAGAACACCACCATCTTATTATTCTGGCCCTTGGTCGCCATGAAATGCAAAACAATCGCCACTAGACCCGGAACATACGAATCCCTATCTTGTAGTTTGGCGTAGGAATACTCGACCTGAGCGTTGGTTGTAGCAGCTATTCCGTTCGTTTGGCCACTATTATTATTGGCACCCGAGCCCACACAATCCACCAATGTATAATCTTTTGGCAAGACCGCTTCAAAGGCTGGCAAAAACTTTCGTGGTAGTGTCGCGGAGAATAGCATCGTTTGTCGTTTCTCGGATCGAGGTAGATGTGACTTGATTGTCTTCATTTCGGCTGGGAACCCCCGCAGCAAAAAGTCTGCTTCGTCCAGCACAAAAATACTCGATTCTGCCACCATGTCGGAAAACTTGCGGCCGCGAAGGCGAGTTGTCTCCAAGTGATCACAAAGTTTTCCCGGCGTGCACACCAAAATGGAGGGTATTTGTCGTTTCAAAAGGGCCAGGTCTTTTCCCATTTTGGTTCCTCCGTACAAACACAACACGGAAATGTCATCGCGGTGAAATGACAGTAGCTTTTTGGCCTGATCCGTCGTTTGTAGCGCCAGTTCTCGAGTTGGAGCCAAAATCAAAACTCCAACATTCTTCCCCGAGCAAAACGACCGTTGGTCGTCCAAAAGCAATCGTTCCAAAGACGGCAGAAGAAACCCAAGTGTTTTGCCCGTTCCAGTTCGACTGGTGGCCAATATGGAGTTTCCTGCCAGGGCAGGTTGGTACGTCTCGGATTGGATTTCCGTCATGACATCCAGCCCCAAGACTTCGACAATGGCTCGCTTGGTGGCAGGATGGATATCCTCTCGTTCGGAAAATTGTGTATTGGTAAAGAGGGATGGATCTTTCCAAGCAAGGTCATGTCGCTTGCGAGCTTCTTCCGCGTCCACTTCTGCTGCTTGAGGCCTTGTGGGCTGCCGAATAGGACGTATTCTCACACTCCGTCTAGGTGGGCTCGAAGAAGAAGACGACGAAGCTTCACTGTAGTAGTCTTCATCCGATTGGGTGGTGCTTTGCAAGGCCGTTCTGACATTAAAAGAAGCGAATATTGAAGGCTGAAAAGCACTGGAAGTGGACCAAAACTGTGCCATCAGAATGCCAAAGATACACCACTTTACCCATAGCCTTCGTTGGCGGTTGAAAAACTGAGGCGATGCCATGATGGAAAAACTTCGGCTTGCTTGAAACTCAGGAACAAGAGCAAAGATTCTTCAGTCAGGGAGGTATTAGGGATGTACCCGAGGTTGTCAATAAAGGCTTGCCTGTTGCTGTCGGCAACATTCTCAGCTCCAGTTTTGGACATGCATGTGAGATTTAAAGATGTGATGATGGCTCTGCATCGGAATTCAATCTTCAAGCCATTTTGGGTGGCCGTCAGGTGGGGTCAGGGTATCTAAGTCTCTTTTATATCAGATCCCTAACCCTTCAAATAGCCAATAATCCTTCGCTTTCTTTTCAGAACAGCTTCGCTTGCCACAATAAGTCATACCACTTTTTGGTGGCAACTCGCACCTCGCCCGATCTTGGTGAATGGCATACCAGTACCGGTACCACGCTACTATGCATACCGGTAGATGCAATGATGGCACTATAGACCTACCCCTATTCCAGCATGGCGCATGCCAAAAACAACTACTGCATTTGTAAAACTCAGGAGAGATACAAGAGCTGGAAGTGGCACAGGTGTCCAGTTGGGAGGAGCACTGACCCCAGCACCAGTCCCCAGTACCTACTAGTAATGTAACATAACCATGGCAAGGTCTACAGAATCAAACATGACCGCTGAGACCATTCCCCTGATGGATGGGAGCAATGAGTAATTCAGCGAAGAGAATTCCACTGAAATCGTAGCCAGCAACAGGTTTGGTAGACTCGTTTTCCAGCTAGCGCTCAAGATCCAATTACCGGTAGCTCGCTAGATCTTTCACCTCTCTCATAATCAGCTGAGATGCCTGGGTTTAGGCTCTGTGTACAGAAGCATCGGACCATCACTCGAGGGTAAAGTCGTACCGGTACGGTACCGGTACGATGGACTGGAGTGCCCCTTTGCTGGGACCGGCTGCAGCGACCAAGGTCCACAGACTAGACTAACGGCACCAAAGCAAGTAGCAAGCAATAGATCGATCCGTACGTACTGGTAAGGAAGGCGCCAACGCGGGAGGATGCTTATTTTTGCGGATTACGTATTGGCCGGCTATATATAGCTACCGTAGCTAGCGTAGCGGACAAGTAAGTGTTACATGACAATGTCAAAGAGAAAGGGTGCGTTTCCGGCAGCCCGATCAAAGAATGGCGAATTGATGTAGAATTCCCATCCAACCAAAATGAAAATTCCAGTCCAGGTTCCAGCTTCTAGTATCTAGGTAGTAGATAGATAGATGAAAGGGAAAGGGAAAGAAATAAATGAGACGAGAAACAATGAATGGGTGGTGAGTTTTGGATTGGTACTGGAAGATTGATACGAAAGCAACCACAGTATCCAACATTGAATCCATTCTGCATTCATGCCTTCTTTCTTACCTTGACCCCACTGATTTCTCCCTCTTCATCGAGGAAAAAGGGAATCTTCTGCAAGGGATTGCTACCTTCCTCCTCTTCTTTGCGTTGTACGGCGGCCGCCACACGAGCTTCTCGTCGTGCCTTTTTCTTGCCCACTTCATTCTCGGATGCCAGCACGGCCAAATCGGGCAAAGTTTCCCCCTCCACAGGAGGTCCGTCAAACTCGAATTTGGACTCCAAGGATCGATCCGCAATGAGTTCGTTGATGGATCGAGTGGGCGCGTTGGCCGATCCCATCATGGCACTAGATATTTCACTCGTCGAAGGACCGTCAGTGCTTGCCTTTTGCTGCTTGGGAGGTTCCTCTTCGTCGAGATCAAAATCGGGCAGTTCATCCGATGGCGGAGGGATGCTGCCGGTATCCTGTGGGGCATCTGATTCCTTGCGACGTCGCTTCTTCTTCTTGGCCATGTTCAAAGCCGACGGCGATACGAGTGTCGATCTTGTGGAGGGCGACCTCCCGGTAGCCAGAGGTGCAAAGGCCCAACTGCCATGTTGCTGGAGCAGAAGCAACAGGAGGGACAGCAGTGGGAATGGACTGTTCATCATGGTACTGTACCGATGGGTTGTCACTTGCAAGTTTGACTTGACTTGACTTGACTTGAATGAGGTTGACAGTTGGCAGTTTGTTGAAGCTTCAAGAAAGGTGTGGGTCGGTTGGAGCCTTGGCTTGGGGATCTTTTGTGCGTCTTTTGTTCCAACTGTCGTTTTGAGTCGAGTCTTGCCAGTTGGCGAGCCGATCCCAAGAGCCAACAATGCTGCATCACAAAAACATCTCAGAAAACAACAGAAACCAAAAAGAAAGAGCAATCACACAAACACAGCAATCAGCTCACGCAAACGACGACGACAAGTACAGTACAATGATGCGAAATAAGGAACGAATCGTGACGTTGTGGAAGGAACGGCAGCGACGAAAGGCACCCCGTCAACAAGGCACGGAAGTGCAGGCACTAAAACAACTGGAGCGGAACCGAAGTTCGATTGGTTACCCGAAAGAAGGCTTTGAGGTGAAGATCGAGTTCAGTCTTCTCTACGCCATGCTCTCCGCACCCGACACGTACCCAGCCGAAGTGGTTCACGCCATGGTGGACGAGGAAGACTTTACACAGTACATGACGACCAAAGACGGTGCTACTTCCTACGCTCAATTGAGTGCCATTCTGGCATACGCCGCCGAAACCAATCCACCGGAAGACGCCAAGGAAGAATTGTCCGTATCGCAGAAATTGTGCAAGAAAATTCTACAAACCGTCGTACGATATGCCGAAGCAAACGAGTTGGATCGGGAGACGGAAATTGACGAGTTGCTCACACCCGTCAAGAAAGTGGCGCGGGAACGAATCGAACGAAAAGAATTGGCCGCCATTTTGCCACTCTATTTGGGATATTCGGCGGCGCTCCTCACGGCCAATCCTCTGCCGCTTCTGGTGGGTGCCATGGGACTGGCAGCGGCACCGGGGTCGGCACAAGAAATGCAAAATATGGACAAAATTATGAACGAAACAGAGCGAAAGACGGATATAGAACGAACGGGACTGCTGGACGAGGGAGAAGACTTTTGAGAGAAGAGTTGTTTATTCTTCTTGCAGCCAACAGCACATGGGAAGAGAGAATCTTTCGTCGGGTGATCGCCTCATCCTTTTTGGAAGAATGACATTCAACAATCACTGATGCATTCGAGGCATTCTCTGCTCTTAGGCTGGACAGAGCAATCCACGGTGCAGAACCCAAAAAGCATCGCCAACAATTCTCTGTATTGTAATATCCCGACGTTCTGGCATTGAATACTGAACGAATAATTCTTAAGATTTTGTTTGTATAATACTACATCTTTTCCCCCTCTGCTCCAGCACTCACAGCAGCGGATTATTCATCCTTCGAAGCCCTACCGGTAGCTAGCAAGAGCGGCATCAACGAAATCACTGTGTTGCCTGCCAATCCCTTGTCTGTGCCGGCTGGAGCTGAAGTCAAGGCGCTGCCGCACCTACCTGGGGGGAACTGCGAAAACGAAACAATTGTATACATCACGAAATTGATATGAATTACTCTAGTGCTTCCGTTCGTTCTCGGTGAATCCAGGACCGGCTAGAGAGAAAGAAAAGAGAACAACAGAAAAGCTTCCGTGGTGGCGTGGCGTGGGTCAACCTTCGACCAACCCCCCTCCATGGTAGAACTGCAATAGGGATTACATACAGAATACCCGACCTCCAACACACAAACCCCCACTGTGCCTACATGCGCCGGGCGCCTGGTTGAATGTGTGAACCGCCAGGAGGTCCCGAGCTCAAAAGGCTGCCTCCACCACCCAAGTCCAACAGAGTCTGCATCAGCTCCTTGACCTGCATCAAATCCGAGAGTACTTCACTCTGCACCGCTTCCACTTCCAATTTCAAACGAACCATATCATCACGATCCGACTGCATCTCCCGTCCAAGATCCGCCTTGAACGACTTGAGTTCTCCAGAAATCTGCTTCAATTGTTCCAACTTTTTGTGCTCCAACTCGGCTCGCGAAATGGCGGTTTCTTTCTGAACAAAGAGGTACTCTCGAACCTGCGGAGGCCACAGCCAACCCGCCGTAGCAACACCGGCCATGAGCCACAAGGGGATGAAAAAGATCACGGCAAGAATCTGAAAACACAGATAACACCAAAACTCAATGTTTCCAGGCGTCAAATCGATATCATCGTAGAGATTGGAATCAAACAGCATCATAAGCTGCTTCCAACCTTCCCGAAAGTACTTTGTGCCCGCCGCATTGTCATCCTCGTCCGGGTTGTCTTTTGCAGACAACTGGGGCGCTCCATTGGGAAGCTCCACGACTTCACTTGGAGCTCCCGGAGCCAATCCGCCGCCACCCTTTTCGCCAAAGCAGGACCGAATCCTCTTTCGGGTACCATATGAAATGGCGTCCATCTCGGCCACGAAATCCAATCGATTCGACCAAAACACAATCGCGGCACGATCGTGCTGAATCACTTCGTACAAATCTGTCACGATAGCAATCAACATATTACTCAACAGAATCACCACCACAAAGGCATAAAGCAGATACAAGAGCTGCGCCACCAGACGGTCATAATAACGAGTCTCCGTTCCAATTTCTCCCATCATCATGGTGTACACTTTCAACAAGGAGAACCAAAACATGCAATGAGGGAATTGTTGGCAATCGGAGGGATCTTCCGCGTACACTTCCCCGTCGAGCGTCATCGTAGGTGCCATCGTCAGGTTTTCCCCTGTGGTGGACGTGGTCACGTTGTTCGTGTAACCGGTACAAATGGGATCTTCCAGGTAGACGATAAAGAACATTTGCGCAAACGCCAGCAACATGATACCCACGGCCAAGAGAAAGGCAATAAGGCGATTGATGACAAAGTAGACTCCACCGACAAACACGGCGAATTGGACGTTGGTACTCTTCAAGAAATAAATGACGGCCGCCCAGAGAATTCCCTTGGTGAATGCACAAGAAGCTCTGAAACCACTGGCATCACCAAATCCTGGGTTTACCATGAGAATGGTATTGTAGTAGACCGATATAATGACCGCCATATCGAGATAATTCGTGGCATCAGTGAACCATGTCTTGAGTCCACCCAAACTAATCAAGGAGATGATCTGTACCAATTCGCGTCCCAAAAAGTAGGTTGCTCCGGCGAATAAGACGATGATTGCCACGCTGGTTTCGTTTGTGACGGGCCACCCCGGTCGCTCTTCGCCCGGATCTCTGTCGTTATAGAATCGCAGTTCAATGTGATTTTTGGAGGCGAATTCAAATGCGACAATGAGAAAGAAGAGAGCGTATCCATCTAGCATCAGAATGGACGTCGGGAATCGTTGAATAATTTTTTGATTGAGGATATTGCGTACATGCGGATTGATGACGGCAGTATCCTGTAGCCAATCGGGCAAATCTTGGAGAGCCGTCAAGAAATCGGCATCGGGAGTCGGTCCGGCACTGAGGTACATTTCCAAGCATTCACTGACATTGTTGCGTTGCATGCTTCCGTCGGCTCTGTAGTTTTCGAGTCCCTTTGCGAGCAAGTGTAGGGGCAGAAATCCATCGTGATCACGACGATTGACGGTTTGCGATCCTTCTCCTTCCAACAAGAATCGAATGACCCCCGGACTGGCATCACGATGAGCATTGACCATGGCCAAGTGCATGGGCGTACGTCCCTTTTGTTCACGCGCGGTCAAACTATCGGGGTAGGCATCGGCGAGTACTTTGAGTACGACATCGGAAGTACCGTAGGCACATGCGTAGTGCATGGGCAACATGCCTCCTTTATCGGTCAACTCTGCCGCTCCGCTGTCACAGAGTAATTCCACATTTTCGACCATGGAAGCCAAATTGTCAGAGTTTCGTGTGGCGTAAAAATGGAGCGGGGTGCGATTGAGACTGTCCTGTGTGATTTTTCCATCGGGATAGGCATCAATGAGAATTCGAAGTACATCGGGAGATGCTCCATTGGCACAAGCGTGATGGAGCGGCAACCACCCATGCGAATCGGTCCATCCCGCCACGTCGGGAGCCGCGTCGACAATGTCTTGAATAAGATCGGAGGGTGGATTGTTCAATTTGCACATGAGATGCAAGGGAGTGGCATTGGCTTGTCCTCGGATATATGCGGCGGAGCAGCGTTCTTCGGCGTCTTGATGCGTCCAGAGCCATCGTCGCACGAGATCCCACGTCTGTTCGACCAATTCACGGCGATGATTGAGATCGGTTTCTTCGTTGGGACGCGGCACGGCTTCTTCTAGAATACTAAACAAGCGAGCGGGACCTTCGTCTTCTTCCACTCCACCAGCAGCTCCAATGTCCGTAAAGGAACCATGACCAAACGCCTCAATGCCACTGCCGCCCAAGTTGGGGTTGCTGTTGCGGTGAAGCGAGTGGTGAGATCGAGACGAACTGTCCACGAAGTGACCTTGGCCTTGGTCGTTACCCGCCCATTCTTCCATGTTTTCATCAGATCGAAATTCAGACGACATCGTGCTGCTTCTTCTTCTCGACTACAGCCGTCGTAGTTGTATAACAAACAGATAGATAGACTCAAGTCTTGTAGAGGACCGTGGCTACCAGCGTGTCACGCTGTATTCCAGAAATAAGGCAAGACTGAGAGTCTTCCTGGGAAACTTTGTTAACCTCGTTCTCAAGGTCGTCTCCAGAGGAACCAAATCCACGCTCTTGTAGCTTGTTAACTTGCTTGTCGCTTGTCGATCTCAGATGCTACGGTGGTACCGTCGCCACAACAAGAGGAACAACAAGGCACAGCAGCAGTGTCAACACAACACCATGTGCAATGTCGCTTAGAAATTTTAGAAGGCGCAGTCACTTTGTTGCCCGCTTGAAGTCACGACCTCTAGCCCTAAACAGAAAAATTAACAACAGATCTAAGGTTAGAGCTTACGAGTCGAGCAAAAAAATGGTCAGGGCTTTCCTCCTGGAGAGAAAGAAGTTCAACCTTGCATCCAAATAGCTGACCAGCACTTGGAGATAGCTACAGTATCAACCCAAGCTGAAACCTTCGACGGCCATGGCAGCTCTATTCCTCTTCCTGTGGCTGCTACTACTAGCATCAGCAGATGCATTCACCAATCCTGTTGTCGTGGCAAAGACGAGTAGTATTACCAATCCACAAGCATCTCAATTTCCGTGTCGAGCCACCCCAGACGATAATGACACCCCAGCCGTGACAATAGCATTCGAGCCACCGCCGCCGCCGTCATTTACTCCCAAACCACTTCCTGTCATTCTAGGAGCAGGATTGTTCCTCTTTGCGTCATCCGTCAATCGCAACGACAAGAGTTTTGCCACGCAAGTGCTCCAACAAGCACAAATCGCATTGCGTGCCGATCCCACCATCACCATGGAATTGGGACAAGCCGTCGAGACAGGAGGAGTTTATTCCTCACAATCCAGTACTGCCAAGGTGGGAACCAGAGACTACAAACAGTTGGTATTGCAGTTCCAAATCGAAGGAGGCAATGCATGGGCACAAGGTGTGGCCTATGGAGTGGCACCCATCGACGATCCGACACAGGTCCAACTGGTGTCTCTGGAAGTGGCCAATATGGATGCTTCCATCAATGGAACTCCTTTTGAAATTAACAATATTGCATCTACTTCTACAACGAGTACTTCATCCAAATCTACTTCTGGAGACCAATAACCAAGGTGTGTTTTAATCGATGGTGATGAAAACGAGCATCTCCATCTATTCAAGCAAGCGGTTGCCTCCAGAAGATGGAATGAACGACAGCGGGCAAAATGATGGCTAAGAGAAAACAGAGGAGACCTAAGGAATCAATACTTCTTCCTGGCTTAGTTTGAGAAGCAACAGAAGAGACAGCAATTCCTGCAACCCACAGTAGTAGCAGGAGGAGGGTCTGATTCACTGCGTGCCCTGCTCGATTCGATTCTTTCAATCCACTGGCATGCACAAGGGTTGTGTACAGCTATGCTTCGTGATCAGTGAAGCGTAAGCTAATAGAATACTGAGTAATGGTTTGGGCCAAGTCAAGCAGGTGCGAAGCAGCCGCTAAAGAAGCACTGGACTGTAATATTGGATGAAACCAATCGTAGAAGCTCTGTCATCTCTCCGCGGAGTAGCGCCAGGAAAGATGACTTTGCAATGCAATGCATGTGGAAGCAAGCAGTGCGCAAGCAGTCATCAAGGGTGGAGGGTGCCATCCATCCACACCGATGAAGACAAGCTGGCTGGCTCATAGATAGCGAACTCAATTTATTAAACAACCCATTCAACCCCACCAAGAGCTCCGTCGGAGTTGAAGGCCAACCTCGACCTCGCTAGCCAGCTAGGAACAAAAAGCTCTCGAGAGAGATGACTGACCGGATTCGATTCTGATTCATCCTTCGGGCTTTCTACTAGCTAGCCAGTACCTACATGTACTTCAACATATTCAAACATGTTGAGAAACTAAGATGCCTTCTTTGCGCGGCTGGATACTGGATAGACATTCCATGGTACAGCGTACCTCGCAGAGGGTAGATGGTAGATGGGTGCGTATGACTCGACTCGCTACGTGTACTACTAGCTAGAAGATGATGCATGCAGTTCGTAACACTACGTACCTGTACCAAGATAAGCGTGGGCCCTTCTGTAGGTGCCGTACAATGCTGCGCTGCTTTACACCGCTCCCCACTTGACGCTTCAGGGTTCGTTGAGAGTGTTTGTATCCGGTTGCTTCAAGGTTCTGCGGATCTTATTATGTAATGAGCTACTCAGTACTCAGAGTAGTAAGCAAGAGAAGCAGGTCTTGCAGGATGCCGCAGCTATGCCGTATGCCGTGTGCCGTGGCAAAGCACAATGATGCTTGCCGATTGCCGAAACTGGTAGCTCTCCCCCCAAGCCAAAGGCTACACTAATAGAAGGGACACAACCATGTATGTGATGAACTGTGATGAAGAGCATCGTCATCAAGGAACTCATTCTAACTTTTTCGAAGCCTGATGCCGATCAAAATGACGTACAATCCATTCCCACTTGTAAGGTAAGCATTACGGTTGATCGGACATAAGAAAATAAGTGAAAGAGTGATCCTCAGAAAACCGCACCAGAACCGCGATTAACACAAAATGTGTGGGGGGCAGTTGGCTTTAAGCGATAACAAGCGGCAAAAGAACTCAAACCAACCAAGGCAAATATGTCCTTAGGGGATCAGGAGTTAAAAGTTCACCAAAGCACATGGCTTCATCCAAAGTTCTTTTGAGGTTTGCTCCTCTAGAGCTCCTCTAGTAGGACTTCAAAAGGAGAAGATCTAAGAGTGGTGGCTCCAAGATATCTTATCTTGAGATGGGGTATATATTAATTGAGTGGCTCTGGAAGGATAATTCGGCGTACGTTTACAGCAACCCATGCTATTGTATGGAAGGATGGGGAATAAAAAAGATCGCAGAGACACTAATGGGCTGTATAGATCACCATGGATCTTTCTTTCGAATGATCCAATGAAATCAATTCCTCGCTTGAGTTTGGGATTTTTCCTTCTCCATCTCCAGCATTGGCTGTCCTTTGCTCGTATCGTTAACTAACGTAGCACAGCTCGTAGCTCCTACATGTACCAGTACTAGATTTAGCTTAGAATTTTTAGGCGGAAGGCCCAGCCAAGCATTGTTCTGGCCACTGCCACCATTTCGATTGCACATAATCAGCTTTTGCAACCCATCGACCAAGCACCGCGACAGTTTCTTAGCACAGTTCGCTGCACTCCTTCATTTCATTATCCTCGACTTCTTCCCATTTCCATCCTTGCCCCTTATCCTTTGAACATTCTATTCTTTTCAGTTTCAGCAAGCAAGCAAGATGACCCAACCAAACAACTCCAAGATGATGGCTGGCCATGGTCGCCCTGAAGCCACCTCGGAAGCTCACGAGCTCACCCTCCGAAGCGCCATGGCTCCTTCGGTCCAAGGTTCCAACGCTGCAGCGGAGCTGCGCGAGTATCAGCCCCAAACCACTGGGATCTCGTTGGGAGACTTGGCAGTCCATGGCATCTTCAACTGCGGTGCCTTGCCTCCTCCTCCACCAGAAGACGACCGACGAATGCTCAACCTTGAACAGCTCCAGGGTACCATTCAGTTTGTGCTGGACATGGTGGCGGAAGATGACTTTTAAGCGCCGACTATTGCCTCAAGCTATCCATGTCCCTTCAACGACTTGACGGAAGATGGTATCAATTTCAAGCTATCATTCATTTCTTCTTTTTTGTGCTGCATATTGATTTGGGAAGAAAGCAAGCGGATTATATACCCCATGGAGCAAACTGAAATGATATCACACCGCACGAACTATTTTGCACTGCACATACCCACATACTACAGCCCAGCTTCTAATATATATTCTAGTAGACACATACCGTAGACACAACCCAACCACACGCTACCGGTAAACAGGTCGCCTTCCTTGGTACTTAGAGTAGTTAGCTGCGCGGGAAAAGGCAAGTTTTCAGAGTGCTGGCTACTTGTAGGGCGGGCACGGATGAACGAAAATCTGGTCTGGTCAGTGCGCAACTTTTGGAGTACATGTAACAGTCTATTGGCATTGCTATCGGTAGCAACCACTAGTAGCTAGCTTCAGCACGGGTAAGTTGGATGTTTCAGCTAAATCACGGCAAGGGTCACGTCACACTTTCGCCTTAGAGCGACAGTAGCGAGTAGCTACAATATGTAATAATATGTATCCAAGATAGCACGCATAGATGCATGCATAGTCTAGTATATCATCTGTACCAGTACCCCGAATCCAGAAGGCTCACCTAGACTACTAGTAGCCAACCAATTTGTCACACGAATGTCCCAAAATGCGAAACGATCAGAGTGTCCACGTTTTTCAGACTTTACACGCACTGGCACAATATGAATGGCCCTGTAACACTTCCTCTGCTGGCATTATAGAAGGTGTTGATACATGTAGCAACTGCTCAACAAGGATTAGCATAGGATACGCACCCTGAAGTCAGAAAGCTCACCTAGCCTAGCCAACCAATTTGTCACACCAATGTCCCAAATTGCGAAACAATCAGCATGTCCACGTATTTTCAGACCAGCACACGCACTGGCACAACATGCAATGGCCCTGTAACGCACCTGGAGCAGTGGCAATGAGCTACTACCACTGGCAATGGAAGGTGTTGAGGTGTTGCTAGGTTGAAGAGCTGGTTGAAGGCATTGGGGCAACCGCCGAAAAACGGATGAGTACTTTACGCACATTACCCTCCTCTCCTCCAATAAACTCCCCGCGACAAAAGCTGACGACAGCCAAGCCAGTTGATTCCAAGAATCTTCCCCTCCCAGCTTCTCACCTTTGTTGGCTCAATTGTTGAGATTCGATTCGATTCCGACGAAAGATCCGTCTTGAGTTTTCTGGTTCAGTCACGTTTTCTAATGATTCACAACGGGATCCAACGGTCACATTCGTCAGATCCGAGATTAGATGTCAATGCTTTTTGCCAACAAACGAAACAAACTCGACGACGACGCAGCGCTGCATGGGTTGTGATGCCCAGTGACAGTGCCATTCATGCCGTAGAAAGAGACCACCACGGCAGATACATAATCGTTTTATAATTTCCTTTTGCCATGCAGCAACGACCACGTCCCCGAAGACCCCGACCCAGCAACACTAGCAATAGCTCGGACGACGAGCCAGCATCCCGCAAGAATCCTCCCAGCATTGACCACACAGCTTTACCCGATCCCGCAGAGTACGCCAGTCTCCGCTGTCGACCGCGTCACAATCCTCGTCGACGAGGATTTTCCACCTGCATTGATCTTCTGCTCAAGTGTGCCGCTTTTGGCGTGGTCATTCTGTGGGGTATGCTGGTCTGGGAGATTTTTATACCCGAGCAGAAACAGAGGGTTTATGTTTGTACTCTTGGCGTGACACTCATCCCCGTGTTTCTGGCATTCATCACGGCGGTAAAACCCAATAAACCCATTCATCAACGTCTCACGCCAGTGGTAGTGGTGGGAACTATTGTCGCTGGGAGGTTTCCGGCATGGTTCAATGCCTCTGTGGCTGCTGTATTACTGTTTCTATATGCTTGGGTCACTCGGCCAGAATCGGCAAGTGTGGTGGATACTCATCATAAAAAAGAAGACGACGTCAAAAGCGATGATGACAAAAAAGACGCCGAGGATACTACGGACGAGGAAACGAAAAAATTACTATCGACAACAACCGCAACGAGCAAACCCAAACAACAACAAAGTGCCCTGGGGACCATGAGTCGGCAGGATCAATTGAACTACACCAAAGCAGCCATGTGTGGATTCCTCATGGGAGCGGTATTTTTCACGGAAAACTTTTTCATTTGGGTCGTTAGTGCTACCTATGAAGCAAGTTGGAATCCACAGACGGCCCCCGATCCATTGCAAGACAATGGCCAACGGGTCATGAAAGCCTTGTTTGATTCCCTGGATTTGACCAAACGGGAAGTTGTATCCATGAGACGCGTCTGGAATACCCAATTCGCTCTCGTGGTCGCAGTCGGAGTGATTCTCGGTACCATGGATTATCATCCCACACGACAACTCTGGAGTTTGTCCAGTCGAACGTTGCTGACTCTTTCCTGTGCTCGGATGCTGCGAGTCGTGGCATTTCTCTTGACAGTCCTGCCGAGTCAAAACAAACGCTGCTACATGCAGCATTTCCCCTATCCACCACCCACCGATTGGGGTGAATGGATCTTTGAAGGATTCAAACCTGCAAGTCATGGTGGATGCAATGATCTCATTGTGAGTGGGCATGCCACAGTGACGTCGACGATGGCGGCGGTGTCCATTAGCATGGCGGAAGATTCTCTCTTTAGTTTTGCCGTTTGCTGGCTGTTGGCCATGGATTACGCCGTGGAAATATACGAAGGATTCCATTACAGTGTCGACATGTGGATGGGAGCCATTCTGTGTGGTCTCCTGTGGAGAGTTTGGAAACCCGTGGAAGACAACAATATGGAACGAAACAAGGTAACACTGCAAGATATTGTCAAACGGCTGCAGAATGATCGATTGACGTTCCGAGACATTGTGGAATATGGAGGACCCGCCACGATATCCTTTCTACAAGTGACGATTATACCAGAGGTCATGGCCAACTTTGTCATGGCTGGATTCTTGGCGGCTTGTGTGGCGCAGATTGTGGTCCAAGGCTTTCAGCAGTACACAAAGTACTTGTTCTTCTGTGTCATCTACATGTCCGTGGGAATATACCTGTAGTAGAATGTTGCTCGGAAGGAGTTGGCATGGAATGATTGGTAAAATCTTGAGTTGAATTCAGGTTTTAACGCAAATGAATGGAGTGTCGGTAGAGCGAATGTAGGAAGCAACGAATAGGAATTGGAATAGTAGAGACCATAACAAACGAGTGTGCAAACAGGTCAATTTTGTAGCGCCCATCCCAGTGATCCAGTTGCCATGAGTAGGCAGGAGTATCGATCTTGTTCACATCTTCACATCAACAAGAAGGAGGAGTGGTGATGAGGAAGCTTCCTGTGCCACTCCGTTGTCGCGGGAGTTGTTCGTTCGCAGTCATGAGCTTCACACGACTGCGGTGAATCGAGCCGTTTCTCTCGTCTTCATCCGATACCCTTCACTTTTTCAGCACTGCTGCTCACAACAGCAAACTATTCTTGAGAGTTACCGTCGGGAAGGCAACCAGAGTCTTTCCGCTTCCTCTTGTTTGCTCTCCTTGTTGATTCTGCTTCCTGGGAGTGCGAACAAGTGCCATCTCGGAAATCGTCGCTTCCAACTTCAACAAGATCGTCATTGGTTTCGGTTCTCTTCGTCTTGCTCTCTCTCCTCTTCAATTGACGTGAACGTCCGACCATGACGAACCCACAAGAAAACCTCCCTCATCGTCGAGAAACTGCAGCCTTCTTGAAACGAAGCATCACTTTGTTGATGGCTATTGTTTGCTTCGCGTCTTTTACGTCGTTCCTTCATGTCAGCCTTTTCCTCCGAGGAAACTTGGTGGAAACCTCGGCAACGGACGCCACAGTGTCTCCTTTGAAGATCAAGGCAATGGAATCTCGCAGCAAGGAGAACCGCGTTCCTCATCCAAAGAAGAAGCAGGGGATGAAGAAAGAGAAGAAGCGAATTGCCGCGGTGGATCATGGACAGAGAGCTCTTCGAACTTCTGGCAACGAAGCGACAAGCCAAAGATCACGGATGATCGATAGCAGCAGCACGTCGTCGAATAAGAAAGTTGCATCAAAGCGCAAGAAAAAGCTCGATTTCATTATTGCTGGATTCCCAAAGACAGGAACGACAAGCCTGCTTTACGCTTTCGGAGACCACCCAGAGGCTGACATTGCCTCGAGAGAACGCTGCGGTGTCACCAATCCAATGACCAACGACACGGTTGCATACAGCAAGCTCCAGGAGGCCTTGTCGGAACTGTCACCATCACCTCAAGTCAAGCGCGCCATCAAGTGTCCAAATGCAGTATATCACGCATATCATGCAATTGTGCGGCTGGAGCAGCATGCTCCCAATGCAAAGTTTGTCGTTGGATTGCGTCATCCAGTCGCAATGCTCCAGAGCTACTACAATTATCGCGTCACAGAACACTACGACAAGCAACAGAACGGGGGCGAAGAAGGGGGGAACGCCGAGACGATCCCACCCCTGGATAGATTGATTGGGGTAGACAAAGAATGGAGAGGCGTCTCCACCGATTCCACTCGATTCGAGCTCTATCTCATGCAGTTTGGCAAAACTGCAGTGGAGGCAAACATTCTACATGCAATGATACCTCGAGGGGAGACACTTGCCGAAAGAAAGAACCATCACTGGGCTATCAAACCCAACACGTTTTCCATCTTCCTGTACACCTTGGATCAATTGGAAGACACAAACAATGCGGCTCGGAGCCAGTCATTTCGGGAAGGCCTTCAGCACTTTTTGGATCTCCAGAGGCCTTTGAAGCCAGTCGGTCGAGAGAACTTGAATCACTTTGTGGGGAAGCAAGGTCACCCCGAAACGGTTGACATTTGCCTCCCCAAGTACAAATCCCTCCGCCAAATCCTCGTGAGGCAGGGCGCTCGTTCGGCACGATGGATCGAGTATGAGTTCTTGAGCAGTCAGGATGTTCTCGTGGCCAATCGCGACCACTTTTTGAAGAGTATTCGCTCATGGGGCATCGATCCTTGCGACCAAAGTGCACAAACGACGCATGAGGGTAGCAGCACCGAGAGCAAAACCGAGGATAGTCCTGACGGAGAAAAGACAGTGCGACAATTGTCGTCGAAAGCCACCGCAAGGAAGCGCGTCTTTGCTCCCGGCAAGAACCACAAGATTGAAATCTTGCCGGTCAAGTTGTAGTGAGATAATCCTGTCTATTCGCACTCCTACAGACTTCTTCAAGTCCACCTGTTCTTCATCAGCATTCTTTAGGCGAGGACAACAATAATTTCGTGACCTTGCACAACTGCAAACCATTCGAAGGTCTTCAGTTTCTACCGGTACAGTCGTAGTTGTAGTTGCTTGTCTCATAGTACCGGTAACCGCCGAACCATGCCTGCATGAGTTGGGGTTGTGCTAGAGGCGAAAGCTCAGATGTTAGTCTTAGAAGCTGATGCAAAGGTTCAAAAACGGGAGACGGCTGTGGAAAACCCGTGTGATCAGGAAGTGCATCAAGATTATCTGCAACCCTTAGTTGATTTTAAAAAGGTAGCTACCCCTAAAACAGCCTTTCCCTCCCAGGCTCCTCGCTACCCCCGGTTCTCGCCGTCGCAAGTCTTTGCCCGTCTTCCCTGGTTTACAGTGACATCCTTCATCTTCGGGTTCCGATTCCCACAACAACGGATTTCTCGACTGGCTTGAATAAATCCAAAATGTAGTTTGCAATGTAGTTTGCTTCCGCAGTCAAGACAGTGCCATCAGGATCGAGACTTCTACCCCAGTCGTCCACAGAATCCCACAAGGGGTCTAAAATGGGCCGAGTATCGAGGAATGTGACATTGTTCTGCGACCCACCTAGAGCTTCACATGCTTCAGCCATTGCAACATTGTAGCCATCAATGACGGGAGGTGAACGCCAATCTAATGGAGGGCATGAAGTCATTTTGAGATCCAATGGTCGATAAGGAAGTGGAAGCAAATAGAGATCGAACGATCCACTTTCTTCTGGGACGCTGCTACGAAAGTTGACAAACGTGCGAAGCATGCCTTCGACTTCATCGCGGTATCGCCCAACCTGATGAGATGGCGCCTGCACTTTTCGAACAATGGCGTGGACTCCATCCCAGTAGTCAACAGCGCTGGTAGGATCAGCGTCAGAGTCGTTCGTTTCATGCCACGGTGGCACGCCTGTGATCACAATCTTTCTGCAATTTTGGCTCTCAATGAGGCTTTGGGCAAATGCCTTCGTGACATGCAAGGGAGACTCAACGATACTCCAAGTAAGAGTCACGTTTACCCCGACTCGAGTTCTCAGGTAACTTTTGATTCTTCCTGCTAGCTGCTGTGGCTCTTGATGCGACGTTCTGGACCCCAACAGACAAATTTGTGGACTGCCATTACCAAGTAAAAGATCTTCCTTCTTCGGTACTATACCGGACAGTAGTGCGTCGTAGACGTACTCTCCCATTGAAGTAGGATTACTGGGCGTTTCCCAAAAGTGGTTGTCTGTCGATTGGAAGCGGGTCAGAAGAGTTTGCGATCCATCGTTGTTGACTCCCGCATCATCTCGACGTCTCCAATAGCCAGCTTGCGCCACATCCCTCTTTGGTTGCATAAGTGTTGCTGCTGTATGGTCAACCCAAATCTTCGTAGTTTCTTCTGTCAATCTGTGGTAATATGGATCTTCTATACAAAGGTGTTCGTCAATATTCATCGCGCCTGGTTGACTCTTTGCATCAACACCATGCTGCTTCATGTTGTGCATGTGGTCGTTGCAATGAATAACAATAACTTCCAGGTTGTATCGACCAGAGACAGGAACTTGATATAGCCCCGTCATGATAGTCTTCGTGGTGTTGTCGACTACGTTCCGGACTGGATTCCATCTCCAATCATGGATCAATGCCAGTGATGGGCCGCTGAGCCTCCCCAACAAGTACGGCCTTGGACATCTTGCTGTAGCTTTGAAATGAAGGTCTATTCTTGAGAAGGCTGGCAAATGTTCAATTTTTGCAATGTCATGCGATATTGTACTTTCTGGATTGATTGGCAGCCACACTACATCGAATGCCCCCGCAGATAAAGATAGCGTGGCAGTTTGATTCCTTCGTTTGATTGTTTGAGCTGATCTTAACATGGACTTCATCTTATTTCCAGGTGCTTGATTCTTCTTGATTTGTTGGATCGGTGATGCATTCTTTGAGCCATGCTGAAGGGTAATTCCAGAAGTAAACGCTACGAGTGCCAAAGCGCATCCTGCTATCAGCACCAGCGTCAAAAAGACCTGCCGCTCCCTCCTCGGCCGTGGTCTATCATTTGAAATTTCCAAGGACATTTTAGCTCTCGCTTATGCAACTCCAGGTTTTCACCACAAACACTATCTAAACTAAACCAGACCAAACCCAAGAAATCGAAATTGTCTTCTTTGAAGGCAATCTTGTGAGCTCCTGAGAGGGACAGAAAGGAAAAAGTTCGATTGAGTCGTTTCGGCGAAGACACGCGATTCGATTCAGAAAATTTCGACTCCCACGGCTGGATTCGATTCCCGTGCCACTCAAGACATTCGATTCCGTACTGGAGGCTGCGAGCACCTTCCTCTTTGTTTGGAGGAGAAAGCGACCATGTATACTTGCAAGTCTATCCAGCGACTAAGTGAAGCACCCTTGCAACATAGCCAGCATGTTGTATAGCGACAACGTAAAGGCAACAAGTTACTTAGCGTAAAACGGCCCTAGCTAGTAGGTCCTCAATCAAGAGATAGTTGCTTGGCTGTTCATGCATTGTGAGCACGGTGCCTACAGCGCACGCCCAACCTCATCAGACATCTCTCCACACAAGGCACAGCTGACGAGGAAACAAGCATTCAGGTAGGCTGGACCCTCCAAGCAAGACGCGAAGTTGCAAGCAAGAGCTGCTCAAAAACTGCTCGTTCATGCATTCTGGGATGGAGGAGTGTGAATTGAAAGAAAACAGTAGGGGGCTTGGCAATAGGATCTGATGCGAAAAAGGCTCAGGAGAGATAACACAGCCTCTGAGTCTAATCCCAAAGACACTGTTTTCCCGGAAGTTGCCGATCTGTTTGTTGCTTTCCGAAGACCGCACATGTGAGAGATCAGTTGTGGAATGCTCTTGAGTACAATGATATGTAGAAAGTACGATTGCATCCAGTTCCAGCAAAGAAAGAAATAGGGACACCTTGAAGAGACCCAATAGAAAATATGGTCTCTCAATACGTACAGCAGATACTACTACTAGATCTAGCTACTAGCTAGATAGCGCTTTGCCTGGAAGCCAATTTTTGACTTCCATCGGAACTGGCTTGGTACTTGGTAGCGCTTTTAATGTCTCTCAAGTACCTACCTTTTCAAAGGAATTTTGCTGGCATTTTATTCCCTGTAAATTGGCTTCGAGAACCATAATATTATAATCCCATTTCTCTCATGACGCGTGCCAAAGTGGTATTACACTTCTACCTTATCAATAAGATAACTCTATTCTCAGTCCAGTACTGGAGGTATCTTAACCAATTCAGCCACAGCAACACTGAGTTATTATCTTACAAGCAGCCCAATCTCAGTATCTTTCATATCTTATTGCCACTAGAAGCTATTGTCACATACCCCTACTACTAAACATACCCTCAGACAGTGAGGAGCCAGGACCAAAGCTCAAGAAGGCAAAAGTGCAAAGTTAAAATTGATGAAACCAAAGATGTTGTGGTAGAAAGGCACCCTAAATGCGGATTTGGAGTACTTGGATGTAGATAGTGATGTGGAAGATAGTGGGTACTAGATGCATTCAGTCCCCACATAGTATTAGTACTAGCTTAGGATTCGACACCTCAGTACTCGTTGCTTATCTTACCGGTTTGGGAAATCTGAGTGTCCGGGTTATCTAAACATTTCTGAAAAGTTGAGTACTCGGTATCTTAAACCCACTTATCTTAAGTGTGAGTGAGGAGTGTAGTACATTATTAATAGTACCAGTACCGGTACGCACCACATCATCATCATCGATGCGCTATCTAGCTAGCTAGGTCACAGCGTACCAACAGCAAGGTGAGCCAAAACGCAGCAATAGCGCTTTCATCTCTTCTGAGACTTGCTCAAAGCCATAGCAGCACCACTATCACCACGTGTACTCACACCTTCTTCTATCGGCCAGCCGCAGAACTGGCGAGCGACACAGCCACAGTACAGAATGCACAGTATAATGTGGCAAGGTGATGTACCATCGAGCCATCGAGCAGGACCTTGGAGGTTGACTGAAACTCGCAACCGAAATCTTTGCACCTTCCGCCTTGTTGCAGCGAAGCTCATTATTTGCCAATGTCAGACAGCACAATGTTTGGAACCTCCACAAGTGACGAAGCAAGGATCGGCGAAATGGAATCACACCAAGAGAATGAGCCGGAAATGGCCGTGTCTGGGTCATCGCAGCAGCAAGTCGAAAATCTCGAAGGCGAGGATCTCAATGTTGCCGAAGCTGAAATCAGTATTCCCAAGCCATCTGAATGGCTCAGTCTGTCCACCTGGGTTGTCCGCATTGCAATATTTGCTGATGCCATGAACTCACAGGTTCTTGGACCAAACTATCCACTCTTAGTATTGGAAGAAGGATCTCCTGTAAGTTGTAGTTGCTACTGCAGCTGCAGCCATCACCCTGGAAAATGAATATTTCAATCATTGTCTCACACTAAAGGCTACCTTCCTTCTCCTACAACAGGAATCATTCACTTCCACAGATCCATTAGGTTTCAGTGGGGCAAACTACTTCATTCCAATGTGCTCCAACCTTGGGATGTTCATCTCTGCCATTGCATTTGGCAAGCTTTCAGACAAAATTGGACGTAAACCATGCATCCTGGCATGCATGTACATTGGGGTGTTGGGCTCTCTGCTCAAGTATGCCGCAAGAGGCAACTTCTGGACATTCTGTGCTGCAACATTCTTGAATGGGCTGTTTGGTGGCTCAGCTGCTGTGGGCATGGCATATGCTAGTGATGTCACTGAAAACAGACTCCAAAAGGAAGCACAAATTGGAATCATAATTGCCACAAGCATGTTGGGAAGGACAGGAGGAGGGGCCACAGCCATTCTCATGGAAAGCATTGGACTTTTTGCTCCCTTATGGGTTAGTGCTGCAATCAGTTTCCTTGCTGGCGTCTTATGCCACCTGTGGATGATAGAGACTGTGCACAAGAACAAGCCAGAACAAGCATTTGAAGCTACTAAGCAAGCCGACACCCCAGGCTATTCTGCTTCTGAAGATTCAGCTGATGAAAAAGATTTTGACATGAAGACTCTGCTGCATGTCCTTGCAGGGGAGCTAGCTGACCATGTTGGATCTCTAGGCCTTGTCCCACTTTGTCTCAGTCCTTTGATGTTCAATTCATTCTATGTGAACTTTGTCCAACAGAACCAAGACCCCATTATGAGTGCAACAGCCTACAAATGGATCTACATTTTCCCTGCTGTTTTGGTTCTGCCTGGGGCCATTGTGGCACCCTACCTCTTCAAGAAGTTTGGTCCAGCCCTTATTGCCTCCCTCTCCAATCTTCTGACTGGGGCTGTGACCATTGCACTATTGCACATTGGCTTGATGCAGCCAGCAACCACTACAACCTTTGCAGTGTTCATTGTTGTCATGTACCTTGCCTTCCCTCTGACAGTGATCAGTCAAGTCTCCACAGGGCCCATGTTGGATCGTATTGCTCCAGAATCACGACGGGGTCAGATCCAAGGCTTCAATGCAGCAGCAATGAACCTTTCCAGTGCCCTTGGTCCATTTTTGTATGGCCTTCTTACAGATGCCACCAGCATTGAAGTAACCCTGTACACGGCCACTGGTGTGAGTGCATTGGCAGGTTTGATCAATGCAATTCTGGTGAAAGATCCCCGCTTTCGTCCAAACTATGATGAGGAGGAGAAGCATTTTTCAAAAGATCTTGATCTTGAGAAGCAACCCTCTGTCGTTGACCCAGCAGGGCTCACAGAGCTAACAGAGCTGACAGAAATTGATGTGTAGCTCTCATTTCATAAATCCCAAAGAGGAGTTCAATAAATCTACTATTGGCTGTTCGCCGAGTTAACGCGTATTGAACGGTTTCCGCCAACATAAGAGCCAAAAGGACTGGGATTCTTTAGTTCCTATACCTACCGCAGCAACGGGCTGACCCGTCTCCAATGACCCACACTACCGTTGGGGCTGACCCGTCTCCAATGACCCACACTACAGTTGCGGGTCAAATCCTCTTCCGATGTGCGGCTTCTTGGATCAAAAGGTTGCGGCTTTTATAGGATCAACCGATACCATCCGAGCATCAGACCGTCAAAGAAAAAAGTGGTTTCTTCTTTGTCGAACCGAAAGGAACAGTTGCCGCTTGTCATTTGGTGGTACCGACGCAATAGACCATGTCCGCGGAAGCGTATTTGGCATATATTTTCGAACTGTTCTGCCAGCTCCTGTTGATGGTGCTTCTGCGTAAGAGCTATCACTTGGCTTTGCCGATTCTAAACTCTGTGAAGGATCCACTAGCCCCGTTGCTGTTCCACCATCTACCTGAAAAAGCCATTGCGGAACCAGCTGCATTGTGGAAGGTCCCAGCAACCAGGACTTCCCGCTGTGGTCGCGCCCATGGATATCTGCAACGTTTTTGAGTGGTGGTACCCGTCTTTGTTGTTTTCTCGTTGGCATTGCCGGAATAATCATGCTCGGCCTCCCGTTGAATCCAGTAGCACTTTCCTGAAAGCTGTGATGCCAATCCCTGAACAATCTCAAATGGCCCATCGTCATCCTCTCCTCTTCCCGCAATGGAAGCAAAATGTTGGCTCTTGCCTTTGAGGTCTGCAGTATCTTCGACGGACAAATTCCTTTCAAAGCTGATTGTTCCGTTCGAGGCGAATTTTGCATTGCCACGTAAAGAGTTGTTATAGCTGGAAGCGAAACTTCCGCTGGCCAATTGAATGCTGGGCCGGGCTCCATTCTTCTTTGCCATCTGGGTAGCTGCACTACTGTCATGGACGTCTGCCTTGGCCAATTCTACCTCTTGCTGGAATTGTGCCAGTCGTTTTCGTTGATAGCTTCGATTAACAAACACAATCCCGACCAACAAGAGTGGAAACAATACTATCAATGCGAACAGGTAGAGGTTTGTGTTTCCTTTCCGCGAAGAGCCCGTCACATAGACGCCTCGACCACCGCCAGTGCCTCCAGTGGTTGCCCCTCGAACCCCTCCGCTTACGCCTTTGGAACCCACAGCATTCTCACAGGAGACTGCCAACAGTAGAATACCCCACAGTAAACTCAAGTTAGAGGCATCCATCTATCTATCTACTACTACTAGTAGTAGATAACGTTACTAGCTTGTATGGGTGAGGCGGAATCTCCTTCGAGGTGAGAGGTGACGGTATGGGGTGTGTGTTGTGTGTTGTGCTGTTGCTGTTGCCGTTGCTGTTGCTGTGCCAGAATCGAGAAACAGACACATTTCGCGCACACAAGATTGAGGTAAGAATTTCAGTCCCTGGCTCATCAGCAAGACCAGCCGTACCGAGGCAAGACCCCAGCTAAATCTGCTTTCGGCACATCGGCACCCATAGCTATGCACAACTATCCAACTCAAGCAACACAAACAACTTGCGGGCCTTTGTAGCGACTTGAAAACCCAAGAAACCGACATCGCATCGATAGTACATGTACCGGTCAGTACCGTGGTAGCCAAGTAGCTCGTACAAATGTACATGTTCCGTAACCATTCCAAGGCTCTCTAGGCAACCACCTTTTGGATTCTTGGCTGAGGTATCACAAGGCTCGCTCTGGAGGAACCACAAGGTTGGCTCCAACCAAGATCAATCCGACCCAATAACATGGCTTGGATCCATTGACAAACGGAGGCTGTTCCTTGCTCGGCTTGAATGGGCCCAGAAAAGGCTTTGCCAGCTAGCTAGTACCAGTAGCAATGGCTAACGTTTCATCGTTAGTACTGGCTGGTGAGATCCAACTATTGCGTTACAACTGCTCTGGATCTCTGGATTCCATCACTTCTCTCTCCTGTGCATGATACCAGGTACCGCCGTCGACCTTGTGCTATGTAAAAACAACGTGACTCCCATGCAATGCTCGTCGTAAGAACTTCGTGCGAATTCCATCCCACTGCACGGACATCCCACTGGCTGACCATCCACAAACGATTGAATTCGATTCGATTCACAGTTCATGCTGCACACCGAACGTCATGATATTGCTCAGCACATCCAATAAAAGCTGTTGACCATCTACCAACCAAGATTTCCCTCCCGCTGGTAAGAGGGCCCTTCTATTCCCAATACGACGTAGTGGTCAGCTCCACTCAATCCTTAGCTTCATAATACTTTTTGCCTGCCTTGTTTCTTCTCTACCAACATGAATTCAGCTACAGGAGCAACCTCAGAGCTGTTTATTTTGGGATCAACCCTATTCAGCCTAAACGATGCCAGAACAAGTTTGACTGGCACCACAGACGCTGATCTTGAAGCTGGTAAATGCCGCGAATCCTTGACAGAACAGCACAAGTCAACACCTTCCACCCCACCCACAACAGAACTCAAATCAACTAAGAACCAACCAAATGAAGCTTTGTCAATGTGGGTTGTCCGCATTGCCATCTGTGCTGATGCAATGAACTCACAGGTGCTTGGACCAAACTATCCACTCTTAGTATTGGAAGAAGGATCTCCTGTAAGTTGTTGTTGATGCTGCTGCAGCCATCAACCTGGAACATGTCTATTTCAATCATGGTCTCACACCAAAGGCTACCTTCCTTCTCCTACAACAGGAATCATTCATTTCCACAGATCCATTGGGTTTCAGTGGGGCAAACTATTTCATTCCAATGTGCTCCAACCTTGGGATGTTCTTCTCTGCCATTGCATTTGGCAAGCTTTCTGACAAAATTGGACGTAAACCATGCATCCTGGCATGCATGTACATTGGGGTGTTGGGCTCTCCGATCAAGTATGCCGCAAGAGGCAACTTCTGGACATTCTGTGCAGCAACGTTCTTTAATGGTTTGTTTGGTGGCTCAGCTGCTGTGGGCATGGCATATGCTAGTGATGTCACTGAAAACAGACTCCAAAAGGAAGCACAAATTGGAATCATGATTGCCACAAGCATGTTGGGAAGGACAGGAGGAGGGGCCACAGCCATTCTCATGGAAAGCATTGGACTTTTTGCTCCCTTATGGGTTAGTGCTGCAATCAGTTTCCTTGCTGGAGTCTCATGCCACATGTGGATGATAGAGACTGTGCACAAGAACAAGCCAGAAGAAACATTTGAAGCTACCAAGGAAGCTGACACCCCAAACTGTTCTGCTTCTGAAGCTTCAGCGGGTGATAAAGATTCACAAAATCTTCACATGAAGACTCTGCTACATGTCCTAGCAGGGGAGCTAGCTGATCATGTTGGATCTCTAGGCCTTGTCCCACTTTGTCTCAGTCCATTGATGTTCAATTCCTTCTATGTAAACTTTGTTGAACAGAACCAAGACCCCATTATGAGTGCAACAGCCTACAAATGGATCTACATCTTCCCTGCTGTCTTGGTTCTGCCTGGGGCCATTGTGGCACCCTACCTGTTCAAGAAGTTTGGTCCAGCCCTTATTGCCTCCCTCTCCAATATTCTGACTGGAGCTGTGACCATTGCACTATTGCATATTGCCATGATGGAACCAGCAACCACTACAACCTTTGCAGTCTTTGTTGCTGTTCTTTACATTGCCTTCCCTCTGACAGTGATCAGTCAAGTCTCCACAGGGCCCATGTTGGATCGTATTGCTCCAGAATCTCGATGGGGACAGATCCAAGGCTTCAATGCAGCAGCAATGAACCTGTCCAGTGCCCTTGGTCCATTTTTGTATGGTCTTCTTACAGATGCCACCAGCATTGAAGTTACCCTTCACACAGCTACAGGTGTGAGTGCATTGGCAGGTTTGATCAATGCAATGCTGGTGAAAGAACCCCGCTTCCGTCCAAACAATGAGGAGGTGGAGGAGAGGAAGTCTGCACAGAACAGCTACGACGAAGCATTGATATCATCCAATACGACAGGCATAAAAGAGTATGAAGTATAGGTCTCCGCCCAACCATTTTTGACGGCATTTGACTACCTACATGTACCTTCCAGAGGGCGAAGTTGCTAGTGTAGGCCTCTAGAGTATAGCTACTCGGCACTTTTGGCTGTGCCGTACATTTGTCAGTGATGAGAAGCCATGTCAGAGGTGACAAGCCACTGAGACGACCCCATGCCCTTGTAGCTCATTGCTTGAACCTGGACTTGGTGATTTGACCATGCAAGCTTCACGAAGAATGCGATATGAGCACCTACAGGCCCCGGGACTACCGTACAGGGCCATTACAATCACAAAAGATACAATGGGAATTGCTAGCTGGCTAGCTACGACTTTAATAGAGGGGAAGGTGGTCTTCTATGAGCCGCTGTATCCTTCATGCCGGACCGCTGCCTCTCAACCTCTGTATGTACTGGCGCATTGCAGGCGCTAGCTAGCCTACTGGCTAGGTAACAGCTTACTCAACCATGTGTACGAGAACGCCGTATTGCCGCCTGCTTGAAAAAGACACACCCGCACCATCTAGCTAGCTAGCATCTAGCAATGTTGCGTATTAGCTTCCTGTGTTTCGTTGGCGGAAGCCAATGGCCATCCCAATCGAGCAGTCGCCTGGCGGAGAACACTCGCCAAGTTTTGTATTGACTCGGCCATTCATGGATACATTTCGCCAAACGAGAGATGAAGGGGATAAAGTCAACCGAAGCAGCGCCGTAGATGAGGGCGCACTCAGTTGCTGCAGCGATGCATTGGCGAGAGGCCAACGGAAGATTGCTCTCTTATGTGCAACAATGAGCGCACCTGTCTTGGTGACGTGGCGGTTGAGAGAGCCATGGTATGCAACATGTACTATCTAGCCAGCGGCAGCAGGAACAATGGGCTTTTGGTCAATGCCACTGCAACATCAACGAGTCAGAAACTGGCCAACGAGCAGTACCTGGTACCAGTAGCTAGAAAGAATAACAATACGACTTCCAGCTTCTGGTCAATGAGTAGGTCCACTACTAATAGTTTTATGATTTTGTATGGGCGGCTCAAGGCACATCAATTTTACAAAGAACAATGGCATGCAAGCAACCCAAAGGAAGCAAATGACAAGTCTTGCCCAAGCCCACCGACAATGGATACAACAAATTCAACTCCAAAATGCTTAGCTATCAAAGAAAGCTTATGCCATGGCCCCACCTTGTGTTGAAAGGTCGGCCTTTCCTCCCTTGGTAAGCTTGGAGTGGAGCATGGCAGAGTACCTGCGAGAGAAATAAGGAAAACAGTTCGGTGAGTAAACAATAATAGAAGCAAAAAGGTTTTTGGCAAAGGGAATAACTTACACTGCAAGTCCGACGGTTCCAAGGATGAAGAAAGTGAGGGCGAACTTCTGTCCTCCAGTGGTCTTGGATCCTCCTCCGACAACACTTGATCCTCCAGAGATGATGATTTCACCAGTCTCGTCGTAGGTTCCGGATTGCAGAGAGGAGATGAAGTCGCATACAAGTTCTTCTTGGGCTTCCTGGTTGTAATATTGGTTCTCTTGGTTGTCTCCATTGTTGTTGTTTCCGTTGTTGTAGTAGAAGGCACCTTCGAATCCATGGCTGTCTTCGCACTTGGCAGCTTCCTCGTACAATGCACGGCACATTTCGTTGGTCTCGGGAGCGTCTTGGTTGTCTCCGTCACCGTTGTCGTCTTCCTCTTGGACTTCCATACAGGAGATGCAAGTGTCCTCGGCGTAGATGGTCTTCAAGAGAGCGTGAGACAACTTCATTTGGTAACCATCTCCATCCTTGAGGTAGTCTTCGACATCCTTGCTGGCATCAACAGTCATACATTCCTCGTCGGTGAAAACTCCAATCTTGATCTTGGTTCCGTAACTGGCGCAGATGGGACCGGCGTAGAGAGCCTCACGGCCATCATCTTCGGGGTCATAGATCATTTGGCACTCAAGGAAGTTGGTGGCATCAACGTATCCATTCTCTTCCATGTTCTCAATCTTCTGGCACTCTTCGTAGCAAGTGTCGCAGTCAACATTGTACTGAAGACGACGTCCACCATCTTCGTCCTCCTGTTGATCTTCCTGTTCTTCGTCTGCCTCTTGGTTGACGCAGTTCTCCTCGCAGTAATTGCACATCTCTTCCTGGAGTTCTTGTTGGTATTGGACAGTGGCCTCAAGGTAGGTCTCGAGGTCAATGACATACTCTCCATAGTTGTAGTTGCAGGTGCTGCAGTAGCCTTCGGGACAAAGGCGGAAAATGACAAAGCGCTGAGTGGCCAAGACAGTGGCGGAATCCTCATCGTCGGCGAGTTCATCGCTGTAGGTCTTGACGAACTGGCATTGTTCGAACTTCAAAGAGTAGGAAGTCAAATCAATTTCTTGTTCGAGCTTACGGGTGGCCTTGGCTCCCTTGACCAACTTGTTCATGTAAGCGGACTTGGGGTTGCGCTTGCTGGCAGGGCGGAATGGGTTGGCCGAAGCGGCAACAGCCATGAAAATGGTGGTGATGGCAGCGGAGAGCTTCATGATTGATTGCTATTCTAAAGTATGTCGGCGACAAGAACAAGAGCAAGAAAGCAAAGACAGGAGATAAGAATCTCTTCTCGAGGATTGTGATGTGGACTTTGGCCAAGACCGCTGAATTTGCTGTCGCTCTGAGCCTGTCAGTCGATCCTCAACTGCTCGCCAATACAATTCTCAACGTCCTTGGTTTAAATGCTTTCTTTACTTAAGCACTTATCGGAAGAGATGCGCCAACCGTCGGAACGAGCACCTCCCCGCTCGGCACGAGGCGAAGAACTTCGAAAAAAGTGATCGTGTAGAAAATGTACTGGGATCGGTTGCATGCCAACAAATGCTAACTGCAGTCGGCAATCTGGTTTCAGCGAGCGTTGACCTAGGGAGAAACTTATCTCCACTCCGGCACTGGCGACAGACTCCACCAAGTCCTTGGACCCCAAGGCCTCGCCATAAAGTCAGTCTGATTTCGGCAAGAGCCATCTCCACACAGAAGAGAAAGAAGGTGAGGCTTCCAACAACGAGACATCATCTCATGACAAGCAAGAGGACACCAGTAGCCGCAGTTTTGTAGTCGTTTCTCTTCCCATTTCCCTCACAACACGCTGTCGCTTTCTTTTGTAGATCTTTTATCACCAATCGTCATCATGAAATTCCTTCACTCCTTCTTGATTTTGGTTCTGGCCAGCGCTGCCATGCCCGTCCAAGGCAAAAAGGCCCGAAAGCTGAGCAAGCTTCCCGACTCTGTCAAAGCCAACTCCAACCTTGGATCCAAGATCATGGCCAATGCTCGTCGTTTGGAAAACGATGATGAAGTTGACTTTACATGGGTTGCCGACTTTTCCATCAAGTTCCAGGGCTGCCACCACATTTCCCAATGGAACGATGAAGCCGACGGTGAAGAAGATGTCCGCATCGCCACCAAGCGCCTTGTACGATTCCGACTGTGCCCCACCAACACTTGTTCTTTGGAGAATGCAGGAGGTTGCAGCACGGGTTACGGTGATTACGTCATTGACATGAACATTTACCTCGAGGCCTTTCTGGAGTCCGTTGAGGAGTACAATGCCGCACGATGTGAATACCTCGAAGCCATGTCTGGCTGTGACAACGACAACAATGGAGGAAACGAAGATTACTGTCTGTACGACTACTACGCCGCCAATGGAGTCGCTGATATCTGTGCCGACGAAAATCCCTACCAAAACAACTACAACGGACAAGACGAACAGGAGGAGTTCGACATCGCTGAATACACTGAGTGTGCCCAAGCTGACATTCAGAACAACCAAAATGGAGGACGTAAATTGGAGCAACAAGTAGAATACTACATGGGACCCTACTGCGCCGAACAAGGAGGATCCATCTACCTCGGTCTCTTCACTGATGATTCGTGCACTACCTTTGCCGATGATTATGGTGGAAAGGAGGCTTACTACAGCATGACTGGAAAAGAACTGCCATACGGGGAGACCAACATGATCACCATGGACTGCTACAGCTGTATGGAGGCCGAAGCACAATACAACTACAATAACAACAATGGCAACGACAACGAAGATGCGGACAATGTCAGTGAAATGTGCGAGATGATCTACACAAATGCAGGAAAGTGCGAGAACAGTCTTGAAGTCAATGGTGTCTACCCCAACTACAACGCTTGCTCTTACATTCAAGGTATCCAAGTCATTCGCAAGAATGGTATCATTGTCAGTGCAGGATCCAAGGCAAACAAGACTGCATCGATCTTTATTGGAATCTTTGTCGTCGCCTTTGTCCTTCTATCGGCATATGTGTACTACCTCAAGACAAAATTGTAAGTCTCTTACTCCTTCTTTCTGCATGATGTACAAAAGCAACCAAGTCTCTCACTTTCATCCTTCTTTTTCGTTTGCAGGGATCGTGCAACCATCAGCCTTGACAACTAATTCCACCACTTGTATATTCTGCCATCCGGGCGCGTGCACAAGAGTATGGGCTCTTGGTCGTGCACCAACCGTGAGAAAGCGTTTTGTCTTAGTCTGAAAAGATATTTGTTTACTTTTTACAGTATAACCTATTAGCACCTCATAAAAGATACAACCCTCCTATTGATTGATTGTAAGGTGATAGCTTGTAGCGTAGTAGTACCTAGATTCGTCATTGCGATGGTCATCCAAAGGGGCAACAGCTACTAGTATCAGACGTGCCAGGAAGCTCCTGCTTGCGGGGCGACGGAGAGAGAGGTGGTTTCACTAAGCATCGCTAAATACTATTGCTCTAACTACTCCGACGTCATACCCGTACGATCCCTTGTTTTCAAACACTGCAAAAGAATGCTGCTGTGGCTGCTGGGTAGTCTAGAGTAACAGTGCCTACTCGACTCCGCATCCAAGGCAGTTCCTCCCTCCTCAAGCATGGAGACGAACGAACGAGATTGACTCGACTTCATACGCCGGGAAAGAATGTTCATAGTATCTTTGCGCACCCCAAGAAGGCAGGTTCCTCTAACACACCTTCTCGTCCGGAAGGCTGTCTCCCCGCCCAATTGAGCTCTTTGAGCGAAAAGCGCCACCTCGGCTTCTGCGCAAAGAAATTTTGGAGACTCCAGAGACTGTGCTACGTTCCCACTCCGTTCATGCATTCCGTGAGTTCAGTTCAACCATTCGGAATGGGTTTCCCGCCTGGATACACTAAGTAAGTCTTCTCCTAGTAGACTAGAGCGGCATATCTTGCTCCGGGGCAGAATGCGCCCTTAGACAAGAATGGCTTGATTTGGGACTCGGAACTCGGCATCTAGTACTACCGCCTTCAATCATCTCAAGCATAAGCATTGGTATGACGTTCATGCACCCGTGAACTGCTAGGTTTGTCATACTCATCGTCCAGCTACCTTGCCAAGATGCACATGCAATGCAAATCACGATCTACTGCTGTCCGTCCCAGCGCAAGCAAATCCAGTTCGTACTACTGTAGAAAGACTACGTGCTACATGCGGAGATTTCGTTCGTCTTAGGATTGTCTCCCAGAAGATGCGACGTCTACCGTCACATACCGCCACCGGTAGCCTTCACAAAAGTGACATTTACAGCTCTATCCGCCACACTCCCAAAAGGGAAAATCAGAAGTTCATTCTTGGGTTGAATTTCTCATTCCACTACTGTTGTCTTGTTGTGGGAGAGTATCATGCCGTGAGGTTCCGAACCAGCCAGCTAACAGTCGAGATATTTGGAGGCAATGAGCAATTCCAGCGCAATTTCAGGCTCGATTGGAAACTCTGGTACACGTCCTGTAGAATTAGAGTACTAAAGAGAAAGGGAGTGTGAGTCGGGAACGATACAATGGTGGTTTATGTAGGGTGCAGGGGTTGCCTTTCCGCTAGATAGTTTTGCTTACCTTTGTCTGATAATAGAGGTATTGCAGGATCCGTTCTAGAATATAGTTGGATATTTCTGGCAATCTAATGACATTATCCTGATGAAACAGAGAACAGAGAAAGGTTAGACAATCAGCCGTCTGATGAAAAAGATCCAATACGGTACTTTGACGCGGTAGAAGTACTAGTAGAAGTCTCACCTTGGCCTCCCGAAACTGTCCTTCCAGCATGGTTCTCAGAGTTTTGCTTGCCGAGACGGCGACATTGCGGTCAATGTAGAATTCACTCCCCTCGGCACTCACGAGCTTCACAAACTGTGTGGTATTGGGTGTTTCGGCGTCCATGGTCGACTCTTTATGGTTGTAGTAGCTAGCTAGTAGTGTTGTAGTGAGGATGTTGGTGGCTGGAAAGTCCCGCAAAGCTGGAATCACTGAAAGGATCTGTAAAAGTGTTGAATTTAAGTTCAACAGTGTTGACTTTTGTTAAACAGTTGTTCAACGCTTTTTTAAACCCTTTTTCAACACTTTTTCAACACTGTTGAATACTGTTTAACACTGAATTCAACAGATGTTGAATCCAACAGTAGATAGTTACAGTAAAAGTGTTGAAAATAATGTACAAAAATGCAACAGTAAATCCAACAGTTGTTGAAACGGAGTCAACATTAAATCAACAGTACTTCAACACTTTAATCAACACTTTTTCAACACATGTTGGATTTATTCAACAATCCAGCTGTTTAATTAAAGAGTATCCCAAAAACTCAGCTTTTGCGGGACTTTCCTGGTCAAACAGTGATGCTCGTGGGGGGAGCTCTTTCGACGGTCTTCTTCATCGAATGATGAATCGATCTATTCGAATGAATCGATGTTGAAGCTGCAAAAGATGACTCGACTCACACTTTCCCCAACGAAAACGCGAATCTTTTGCGAAGCCAAAGCGAGAAAGCAAGTTGTCGGTCACAACACGTTGTGGAGGCAATACATGTAGCTAGCTACAGTAGCTAGACTATTAGCTAGGAATCGAATCTGTTTCGTTGGGAGCCAAAGGGCAGAGATCGACAATGTCATCGGCGGCGGCATTGAATGTTGGCGGTAGAGCCCTGAAGCATCGCAATTTGCTGCTGGTTATCAAGCAGACAGCCTTTGAGGAGTATTCGCAGGTCTGTTGGGTCACTTGTGGTAGCAACAAGAATCTAGTTGTGGTATCTTTTGACCGAGTCACTCATTGATTGTTGCATTGTATGTTGTTTGTTTTTGTTTCTTCTATTACACACAGTTGAAGCTACGAGGCCAAGCTCCCAAGGCTCTGCGCTGGAAGCGCTTGGAGAAACGTTACAAGGCTCACAAGCAGTGCGTCAATGATCTTTTGACTCTACTCCGTCGTCACAAGGTGAATTTCAGCTGTGTCAACCGAGTGGAACTGGATCGACAGCACTTGGCTGATGTCGACTTGATGGTGGCTGTGGGTGGCGATGGAACGGTCCTCAGCAGTGCCCACTTTTTGGATCATGGCACTATTCCACTATTGGGTATCAATTCCGATCCAAACTCCCAAGAAGACAGACAAGTCGTCAAAAAGAAGACCGATGAGCGCAGGTGAGGAAACTAACAAGCAATTTATCTTTGGAGAAAGTGGAGAGAAAATGGGTTGAATCGAATCGAACACACGTTATCGTTTCATTTTGGCCTCTCATCTCCCATTTTCTTTCGTACCGTGCGTATACCATCCAATCCGCTGCTTGCTTCTTCGTTTAACATTTAACAAAAAGATCCCATGGGGCACTGTGCATGTTGACCGCCACCAATATGGAAGAAAAATTGGAAGATGTGCTCTTTGGGGAAGGAAAATTGCGTACCAGGACGCGCATTCGCTGCAAAGTCAAGAGCACCTTTGCCGAGACACGCCTCGTACCGGCGTTAAACGACCTGCTCATTGCCAATCCAAGTCCTGCCGCCGTGTCGAGATTACGCATGGGATGGTTGCATCCCATAGATGGAGGCACGGAAGAAGATATGCAACGCAATCCCTACGACATTGACAATCCACCCTCCAAAAACTACTCAAAGTTCGGAACCGTCACGCGATTTGGTGGAATCCCCTACAGTGTCAGTAATTCACTCAATATCTGGTCCTCGGGCATGTGGGTCTGTACTCCGATAGGGAGCACGGCGGCCATGGCGGCGGCGGGTGGACAAATCATGATTCCGGACACTACCGATCTCCAATACTTGATTCGGGAACACATGATCGAACCCGATCAAACCATGGACAATGGTGAACCACTCCAACATGACGTCGACAATGGATTGCTAGCGGATGGACAAAAGATGCATTTGCGATGGAACTCACAGAAAGGACGGATATTCATTGACGGGTCGCATCTGACACACAATCTCGAGTTGGGCGATGAAATTTTGATAGACAACCTCGCGCCGCCACTCCAAATGTATGTTAGTGATGAAGTCCCCAAGCCGCTCATGAATGAAAACGTTCGGGCCAGGAGGCTTGAATCGTTTGCCGAGGCAAATGAGCTTGATTCTTTCAGCAAAAGCCTTTGATAATCGCTGGCAAAGCATTGTTTCAGTACGCGAGCAGAGTAAATTTTTAATTTTTAGCTGCCACTGTTTTCCCCTGGTGTCGTTATTACGTCGTACCCACAGGAACGCAGCTGTTTCTCCAAACGACAAACATCCCTGCAAAGGAAAAGGACTCTACTTCTGCTCCTTCGATTCCCAAACCTTGCATGTTTACACCGTTTGCATCCTTTGAAGACGTCGAATGGCAATGGAAGAAACGGGTGGATGAGAACGACGGTCGAGCGCTTTCTAGTGAGTTTTTCATTCCTTGCGAACCTGAACCGTTCCTTCGACAAGAACTCTTACCAGACTTTGAGAGACTGAACCCATGATGGGTGTGGACGCCACTGACGGCGACAAGTCTACCAAGGATGCATAGTTTGCCAGTGAAGTCTTGTCAATCCTCCCACAAGCCAAGACGATTGCCATCTAGGAGTCACAGTCACTCTTGCATTCCTTCGCTCAATCAAGCTCGAACGATAGAGTACGTTCAAGTTTCTGTTTCGTAGCTTCTGCGTTGCTTGCTTGTTGTACTTCACTGCCCGCGCGCTGCAGACACCGGACCTTCAGGCCTTGCACTAGTATCACGTTATTTGAGCAAGAGTCGGGTGCTCTTCGTAGGTTGCCTTACTAAAGTAGTATTCATACATCTGTGTGTGCTGTGCTGGGGCCAAAAAAGCATAGCTCTTTCGATTTGCTCCGACTATCCACTATCCAACTGCGTGCGCGAGTTTAGCGTCTATTTCGCCCTTCTTACACTAGCTACCGGCTGTGCTGGGGCCAAAAAAGCATAGCTCTTTCGATTTGCTCCGACTATCCACTATCCAACTGCGTGCGCGAGTTTAGCGTCTATTTCGCCCTTCTCACCCTAGCTACCGGTAGTCATCAGACTATATACCTTGTGAAGACTTCGTACAATCTAAGCTACGAGCCCTGAGATGACTGGAAAATACTACCGCAATCCAGACAGGAACAGAAGTTATCCATGTTCTTATTTGCTCCCGCCATTGCTTTCATTGACAAGCTGCCCTTGGCACGTTTTCTCGACTTGACCAACCGATTAAAGCTATTCCAAAAGATTTATGATCGTGGGAAGGCCAGGCAGTTGGTTAACCGACCATGCGACGCTGATCTTAGAGGACTGCCGAAGCCTGACTCGACTCGATACTCTCAGCAAGGCAGTTTGATAGTAGTGCTGCATTCGATAGTATACAGAAGCACTCGAGAGTCATCGTCCTGCGTTATCTCTTACCCCGAAACAAATCTGCCACCTTCATGCTTTTCTTGAGATTTGCTTTCTTGCCGCAAGCACTGCGCTTGTAGTATTCCGCGGCTTCGTTCAATGTTGTGGTCAGGTGGCAGAGCATGAAAGCTTCCCGTTTGGCCATTTGCGGTGTCAGATCAGTCTTTTCTTTGGCATTGGGAGGCCACTTGTAGTCAAACATGGTGGCTACATTGTCGGGTGGTTCTTCAAAGAGCGGATTGGCACAGTCGTAAACGTCATGCGGGATCTTTCGCTTCCCAAAGAACCAATCTTTTCCCAGTGAATACCGTTGACACAAATGCACCACGTTTGGTAGAGGATACTTTTTCAGATCGGCATGGTCGCCCCGGCCGACAGAACAGACTTCCTTGGCAGGAATATCATCAATCAAAGGCCACCCTTCACTGTCCCCGGTATGGGTATCCGAGATCATGAGTGAATTGATGAGCTGATGCTTCAAGTCCAGATGAGCCGCTGCCAAACTGGCAGCAAACATTTCGGCCAGTAGATGGGGATATTGTTCATGAACACGAGGGACGAATTCCGTCCATTTGAGAGCAATCTGGTACATATCCTTCACTGTAGCCAAGTAGGGAGGCCCAATGGGATAATAGAGTCTCCCCTCCTCGTGAGTTGTGGTCAACAAGCGAGAGTCCTTGCCTCCAATCTTTTCCATATCGAGTTTCAGGAACTGGGATTGGAATCCGTATAGTTGAGCAAACGGCTTGCCATGTTCTACCGTGCGGCCGATGATGTGATCTTTGCGGGCTTTGGAAATCACCGTGTTGGCATCGGAAGTGAAGTCTTTATTGATGGGCCGTAACATGCTCATGTCTGGATCAATGAGAATCACAATGGCATCCTGCGTCTTTGGGAATGCGCCTGCTCCATCATAATCGATCAGATCAAACTTTTCCAGAAAGTATTTGAGGCCAAATGGTTTATTGAAGAATTTGTAGTCTCCCACGATATTGCCTTTTTCGTCCTTGACGGCACTGAAGTTAGGCGTCAGCAGCAAGTGGAACCGTTGGGACATGTGCCTGATGTGCAGGTTAAACCAGGCTTCAATTTGGACCTTTTCCTCGTCGGTACATCCTGAAGCAATTCGTGTGACGTGACCAGGCTGCTTGATTTTCATGGCGCGATAAAATGTCATGTAACTCTGCCAGGCCTGATAACCGCCACAATCAGTAGAGAAGATGACATGGTAGATTTGGCCATCACTGTCGCTTTCCAAGGCAGAATCTTCTTCCGGAGATAGCAGACTCACTCCTGGTACTACAGAGGTTGTCTGGACTGATTTCCCACCTTGCCGAGATTCATAGCTCTCAAACAAGAATCCAAACAAGATCACAAACACGATAATGCCTGCCAACACCTTGCTGGACAAAATGTCCTTACTGCCGCCCCCCATCAAACTGGTCCTTCCTGCCTTCTCATGACTGCTGGCAGCGCCTCCTTCGGCCGACCCTCCTGGTTTAGAAGTACCTGCGTGTTTTCTCGAACGCATCATTATTCCTGATCTTTTCTGCTGCTGTCCTGTGTGATGACTTTATATTTGCAACTACAGTAACTTGAAAGGGTGTTTGTGTCGATGTTGGTGGTGGGAAAGAAAGGTCATCATCAGGAAAGGCTCAAAGGAATCGAATCTTTTGAGCCAAAAGCAACTTTGAAGGGTTAACCCTACAAGTGCGTATTACCGGTAGGGATACGGTACTCCTGATTACGGTTCAAGTTCGGGAGCATTTTCGGAAATGCTCGGTTAACATCCGGATCGACTGTCACTCTCGCTCCCAAGACTACAGCGTACGATCGTACGATGGTATTGGGATCACCCAAGTTCAACCAACATCTGAGGCAACTGAGCCAAGGTAGCCTGGGAATTGATAGTATGATAACGTACCCAAACAGGACCTGGTGACCAAGGACTTTATGTCAGCCTGGTACGAACATCGTTGGCAGTTTACAGTAAAGTATCGCTCCCTTTGCTCTGGCTAGCTAGCTACTACTGGTAGAGGCGGTAGTTGTACCGGTAGGCTGCAACCCTACATCCACCGGTATCCGTAGATGGGAAGCTAAATCTTATTTCAATCTGGCAGGGGAGGCCAGAGGCCAGCTGCCAGTGAAAGAAGAAGAATCTGATGCCTATGGAGCTAGAGTCTAGTTCTTGCGACATTTCTTCAGAAATGGTTGGTGTTGGGTGGGGCGGGGATGTTGCAAGGCAGTTCGACCATGGTTTCCTACGAACGCTGCAGGACTGCGGTCTGATGAACCTCTCGAGATGTCGAGCCGCATTGGATATATTATGGTATCATGGCAAAAACAGGAAAACAGAATTGAATTATTAGTGCCGCCTTCAGTTCCAACGCCGCCGCATCATCGCCATTGCTATGTACGGTACGGTGTGGTGAAAGCCTTGCTGGTATCGGTACTGATCTTACTGGCTGCTCAATTACGTGCCAACCATGGCCACGGAAGCAAAAACAGAAGGGGTGCGAAGGCTGTTGACAAACTTGTAGACTCCACACTCCATAATCCATGTCCCCCACTCTCCAGCCACCAGTATTGCTTAAGATGTCCACAGAAGTTTGGCTTTTTAAAGGTTTAGACAGCCGGCACTCAACGTCAGAAATGGAAGCAGATTCTTTATTGCGCAAATATTAGCTCGACGATTGTACCTTGGTTTTTAGTTCCACGCAGACTATCCGAACGAAAAGACGGGGATAGCTCCAGTGTCAGCTCCTCAGCTCGAGCTTCGTCAGTACCAGTACTAGCTAGTAGTACCAGACCGGTATCAAAGTCTAGCTACTGATAGCTCGGCACTGAGTAGGCAACCTTTAGAAGGCCTCTGTTCTGGTGGCTTGAGATACATGTAGGATCTGCTTTCGATGCACTCACATCTGACCCTCCACTCTTGAGTCCTCGGTTGATGATGAAGAACTTGGTCCTTGGTTTAATAAACACACACACACACAATGTCACAGTCCAAATAGTGTGCAGATTGAATCATTCAAGAGTCTAGCTAGCTAGCTAGAGAAGTTAGAGGTCTCTAGAGAACCATGTACTGGTCAAATCGTAAATATGTACAGGGAAAGTGAGGTGCGGCGGTGCCTCTGCTATGCATACCGGTAGCCTCGATCACCGACCATCGACCAACACGAAGCATAATGAAAGGGAGATTTGAAAGTATGACAAAATTTGACTTGACTTTCATCCATTATTGATAAGGCCGCGACCTTCGCCGCAGTCAGTTGTTGACAACAATGTCACCTCTCAGTCCGCGTGATTTGAGCTCGGTTCTCATTCTGACCGCTACTAAGTTGCAAGGTAACAGCGGCCAGCTGCTCGCTCAAGTTCTTGAAGTCTGGATCAATCGATTTGGTTCTGATAATTAATACTGTACAGTATGTAGGACATTCAAATATCAATCCAGTTGTTTATGCTAGCCGTATGTGGCAAGGATTTTCTAATGCTATCATACCAGTCCAGTACCGGTAGCTAGCTAGCTACTGGAGCTCTACCGGTTGGTACTACAAGTAGCTGGGTTTTGTTTCCGTGGTTTTCTGGTGACGCAGGTGGCATCAGAGCGAGCAGCAGGCAATGAACTTCTATTCCGGATCCATATTAGGCATCGTAGTCGCCTGCATGTGTGGTGAGAGTGCCCGGGCAGTGAGGACTCCGATGCAATTGGAAGGTGTCAGTGCGCAGGGCTTTTTTGCTCTGCTACATGTAGCAATACGGTAGGTCTACATACCGGTAGCAGCAGAATTGAAAGCTCAGGGGAATACTAGTCTAGCTAGCTACGGTAGCTATGAATACAGTACCGTAGTATGACTCTTTGCTAAAATCGTATGATGATGTACCAGTACCTACAAGTACATTCACTGATTGTTGAGATCGAGCATTGTTGTCCAACAAACTACTCAGTACGATTTAATCTTAGTATCAAGGTACGAATGTGGCATATTCACCTTCATGGAAGGTTGTTCTTTTCAAGTGATGGGACAGCCTTAAGACACAGCCCAGCCAGCTGTCCCATGAGCCGCTGACCATTCATTCACAGTTTGCGGGTTGTGAACGTCCAATCAGTGGCTGCTTGCTGACAAAGGTCATTACCGACGAGGCACTCGAGGCAAAGCCCTGCCTTCCAAAGAGCTTTTAGTAACAGGAGAGCACAGAAACCAACCGACTACGGCTCCACCTGACATAACCAGTGATACTATTGTTGTTGGGCCGATTCGATTCGATTCAATTCAATTCATTCAATTCGTGTTCTCAACAGTTAGTCAGCTTCGTGGTGGTCCACCCATCCATCCATTAAGCTGTTACGGGGAGTGCTGTCTCCACTGTTGTTGCTGTTGTTGCAATCACACCTGCAGAAGCGCAAAGAAAACCTGCTGGCTGAACAGGAGCGGAATCCGAAGGAGTCTTTGTTGTTGGTGCCTGCCTTAGTGTGAGGAAGGAAAAGACGGCCGCCACAAAACAACATCAATCGTAAGATTCGGAGAGACAAGTTCTGAAGGCCTAGTCTAGAGAGAGGCACCAAGGAAGCAGTGACTGCAGGAGATTCTGATTCCCCTGGCTCTACTAGCTAGTAGATTCGAGAGATACTAGTACCGGTAGGCAGGCAGAAAGGTCAGAGAATCGAGATAGAGGCATTTTGCGCTTGAAAAAGCAAGAGAGAAGAAGTCTGGTGTTCAATTTGCCAGGCCCTCACTGATTTGATAGACTGACAGTACTGGTATTGACCATGGTGACGGGTACTTACCAACTCAACGTGAGCATGGGCCAAGAAGAAGCTGTGACGAGATTGCGAACATACAAATTGGAGCGATGTGTCACGCTGGTTCATGACCGTTCCGCACTGAACCACGCTCCCGTAACAGACGGGGATTTGATTGCCATCTTTGAGGCATTGAGTGAACTGCAAGAACTCCAAAAGCTCAAGGTAGACTTTGTAGGTCGTCCTCTGCGATTGCCAGTGAGTGCCTTGACCGTTGTGTTGCAGCGGGCATCCAAGCTCACGCAATTGGTTTTGGAAGAAGTACGATTGGCGGGAAATGTGGATGAGTTGGAAGCATTGGCGTCAGCCTTGAGAGCCCATCCCAGTTTGCAGATTGTCGATTTGCATGGTTGCGTCCCTGCGGAGGGTTCCGAAGGGACTCTCGATCCTCTTGTGACGGCGTTGGCACATGTCAAAACGCTCACGGAAGTGCTCTTGCGGAATACGCGGATAGCTTCACGCCATCCTGTCGACAACAACAACAACCTTCATCCACACAACCACCTCAATCTCATCCCCAACAACTTGCACCAACTCAACATCAACGGCGGGAATGCGGCTGCAGCTGTAGCTGCCATACAAAATAATAATAACAACAACGGTGGCGGCGGAGATGATGACAGCAGTAGCAGCGACGATGACAGCGATGACGAAGAGGCGTCTACGGCACCGTGGAATGGGTCCTCTTTGTGCGCACTGTGTCAATCCCCCAGTTTGAGAGTGCTCACCCTGCGAGACATGTCGGAGATTCGAGACCAGCATTTGGAACTCATGGCAGATTCATTGCGGTCCAATGATTCTCTGCGAGAGTTGACCGTGTGTTCCATCCATCTGGGAGAACGAGCTGGACGAGCCATGGGACAAGTTTTGCAAGTCAATCGACGGTTGCAAAAGTTGGAGATCCAGCTTCACAGTGGTGAGCATGCCATTCCCATTACCGAAGTCTTGCAAGTCAATTCCAGTTTGAAACGGTTGGATCTATTCTTCAATGGCTGTATCTCCCCCAGAATCCGGGAAGCGTTCACGCAAATGTTGCGATGCAACTACCGGCTCTTGGATTTGAATGGCAGCGTTTGGAGAGGACAATCCAACTCGGAAATTGACTTTTATTTGCGCCTCAATAGAGCCGGACGCGGCGACTTGCTGACAGAACATGCCACGCGAGCGCATTGGGTGGACACCATGATTGAACAGCGAGATGATCTCTCCATTGTCTTCTCGTTGCTTCTAATGAACCCCTCTGTGTGTCTGCATGATACCACAGAGTTCAAGGATGTCAACAGCCCTCCAGGTGGAGCCCACGGGACATCGTTGCATCTTCGCAAGAAAAGAAAAGGACAACAATGAAAGGCAGCCATCTTCTAATCGGGGATGGCGGCTTTTTGATTACGATGAATAGTGTGCGTGTTTTTTAAGACCATGAAGGCATGGAACATGGAACGGCAGCATCCAACATTTTCATTTTATGAAATATGGGAGGATTGATATTGAAGGATGGGTAGACAAGTCTGATACACGCCCCGCCCCCGCTAACAATCACTACAGGTACTAATAGATAAGAGCTACAGGTTATTACCGTATTATTTCCAAATCCCTGTGGAATTGCATTGGGGTTGCCACTTATTTCTGGGACGGGGAGCGAACAAATCGCCTGACAGAGTATCCGAACTGACGAGTATCCAAAACAAACTACTACGCGTGTAGAGTTCCTTTTCGGGCACCATTAGGTCCAGCAAGAAGGAATTATCCTTGCTTGCTTGTGGAGGCAAGTTCCTCTTGTGACCTCATCAATGAAGCAACGGAAACAGCCACAGCACTATAGTAGAGTGTAAGCTTGAAGAAGCTAACGCGCTATGTTGGAAAGACTCTTCCTTTATTACGCAACGATATGTAACAATATGCAGTACAACCCCCGTATTCCAGCAAACCGAGCCGTGGACTGTATGTCACGCAATGTGGATATCTCGCCACTGGGACACCCTAACGGTATTGCCGACTGAGCTTGGCGGCTTTCGTGAATTTCTCATCAGATTCTCCTCGTTCAATTTCGTCCCTTTCACGCTTTTTCTTGTTGTCGCTGGTTTTGTGGTTGCTGGATTCACCGTCCGCATTCGCGTTGCCTGAGGTTTTCACGATATCATGCAAACGCATCGAGTCAGAAAAGGGAAGCCCTCCTGCAGCTGCGCGCTGTTGTTCGTGTAAAAGCAATGGATTGATACCTGTTGCAGCTGCATAGTTTGCAGCATCGATGTGATTTGCGAGGTCACGAGCCCTGCTTGCATGCAACAGCGCTGCTGCCGACGGCTGCTGGGCCGCAGCAGCCATCATCAGCGCTTGGGGAGACAGAAGGTGCGAACCACCCGCGGCCTGCAACGCAGCTGCAGCTTGCAACTGAGCTGCAGACGTGTGCTGTGCCAAGAACGGATTCATTGCACCGAGACCTCCGAGGCCACCAAGACCGAAATGAGGGCTGAAGAAGGGGGGTCCCAGACCAGGTTGCCCCATGGACGCCAACATCAAACGCCTAGCCCTCTCCTCGGCTGCCGCGTGAACCGCTGCAGCTGAACGAGATGGGTCTGCACCGTCTTCGGCATTCGGATCATCAGAGGACTCGTTATTGCCCTCCCCACGGGCACGTAAAGCTGCAGCAGCACGAGCGTCAGCAGCCGCGAATGCAGGAAGGAACATCCCGTGGTGAGCCGCGGCAGCAGCCGCCGCGTGGGCACTTCGAGCAACAGCCCCATCGGCTTCTTTCTTCATCTCCGAAGCTGCGTTGGAACGGCCGCTTCCGTGATACGGCAACTTTACCTCTGGTCCTCCTCCCCTTTCAGCGTTCATTCGACTGTGTTGGTCTCGAAGCTCTTCACGGAGTTCAGGTGCTCCTGTGCGAAACAATGGAGTTGTTCTGTCAGTCCAGAGACCACGGCACACACAGCAGAGCAACCGATATCATCAATCTCACCTTCGCGGAGAGCCTGTGAGGCCTTGTTGCGTGCCTGAGTGTCACCGACATCGACTGTTCGACACAGACACATTAAAGATGAGAGGCGTGCAGAAGGTAACTACCACGACAAATGAGAAAGCTTGCAAGGAGCTTACCATAGACGTTCTCGTCCTTTGGATCCTTCTTGAGGAATCTTCCTCCAGGGCTGAGCAGACGAATCAACTTGACAATGTCCTTTGCCACGACTGTTTTCTCTCGCTTGTTGGCCTTGAGGTACTCTTCCTGTTTGGCACGCACCAATCTGCGGAAAAAGATGTTGCCGGGCTGTATCAAAATGAGGGAAAGGACTCCATGGTGAGTTGCGCTCACCCAAACGTCATCCATCCGTAAGGAGCCAAGCACTTACATGATGATTGGACTGACCTCCACGCCCACACAACACTGTATTATACAATCAGCAAAAGATAAGTAAGACCATCGTGGCAACCCACTAGCTAGCTTGCTAGCTAGCCAGCACATACGAAACACAAAACCGTACCGTCAGTGCAACTAATGTCTTCAGCTCGAACTCGTGTGCCCTCCATCTGCTTAGGACCCTCCGTTTTGAGAAACTTTGTTGGCGGGGCGCCCTTGAAGGGAATAGTGGGCTCCTTTATCGGTGGCGGAGGAGGAAGTTCCTCTTGCTTCTTCTTCTTCTTCGGCTTGGGTTGCTCAGCAGCTAATGCCATGGAGGCCAGGGCATCCAAAGGACTGCCAGTGGATGGCTCCTCCTTCTTAACCTTCTTCTTGTCGTCTTCAGGTGGATCAGGGGTGGTCAGGGGTCTCTCTGGTTTGTCCTCCGGACTCTTGGCCGCGGGGGGAAACGAAGAGTCCGCCTTCTCTGAGCTCTTGTCTTCAGAGGGCGCTTCGGATACTTCTTTAGCTTCCGAGGGTGTTTCTTTCTTGGTTGCCTCTTCCTTATCTCCTTCCTTCTTGTCTTCTTCCTTCTTATCATCCTTGGAATCACTATCCTTCATGGTAGCATCATCATTCTCGGTGGCATCGTCCTCCTTGGTAGCATCATCATCCTTGGTCTCTTGAGGCTCCGTGGGAGCCTTTTCTTCTGCTTCGTCGCTGCTGCTTGGTGACTCTTCGCCCACAGGTGTTTCTTCAGCGGATGCTTCGGTTTTGTTTGAAAGGAGCTCATCAGTCTCCTCTTCAGCGTCTTCAAACTGGTTGGGTCTTCCCGCCATCTTCTTCTTGGTGGCTGTTGGGTTGGTACTGCTCATCTCTCTCTTTGATGGTCTCGTAATGTTATTCTAAAGATTGTTGGTCGTTGAAAAAGGGTGGTGTTGTGCCCGAAATTTATTCGCTGGTGCTTTCAATGATCGCTTGTGTTTGATTTGATCACTTGAGAACAAGCAAGTTGGTGTTGGAGCGACCGTAGAATACACGTTGACCCAGTACTAAATCAAAAAGTTGCTGTGACCTTCGAACTCAATTTTTTAGAAGCCACGCTGCAGTGCCGCATGGGATCTGGGAACGGTGAAGACGCCTTTATCAAGCCTTTTGACGGGTTCCAAGACCAAAAGACACTGGTAAGCACCGCAACAGGTATCAGTACTCAGTACTACCGTAGGATGGTGAACGAGGAGCTACGTGGCGCGCGAGCATGCAACTGTAGTCGCGTTGTCGCTTTGTCACCGTTTCACAACTGAGAATTTAGAATGGGAGATGGTGAAAATAAGTGTTCTGTTTCCTCCTGCTCAGCCAGATTGGTTGCAGGTTCTGGACTGGCACCGGTACTGTAGCTGTGAAATACAGAGCACCTCCAGCATGGAAAAAGCAGCTCAAGTTTGCAGCCTCTGGATACCAGTACTGTAGCGGTACGGTACAGTACGAAGTCCTCCTACTCAGTCTTTTAGCAGGTACCAGGTAGCCTCATGACTTTCCGACAGAGCTTGGTTTTTCTTCGATTGTAGCGTGGATTTCTCTGTCAATGCAAGCAGTCCGCCATACTGGTACCGGTACAAGTGCCGGTGCCGATAGGAAGGTTTGGACCAGGTCCACGGTGCACAGAATACAAATTTAAAATTCGTCCTCTTTTCTGGATCCTTCTACAGTTATTAGTCTACTAGTACCGTAGCCGACCTCGCTGCGGTGGCGAGACTAAGATTCAGAATTTACTCCATCTTCCTAGTAAAGACCCGTCCAACTTTTTGTAGTGTGTGGGCAATAGAAAGCGAAGCAAGACAAAACTCGCTGGCGACGACCTCCATGTTTCAACCAACGTTAACAGTCAAAAAGAACCCTCCTTTATCGAGTGACGATTTTAATTAATCAAGGGACTTGCATGATTGTCTTTGTCACATCCTCAGTCATGAGTGCTGCAGGACAAAGTTACAGTCCCGGGCCCACGACCGAAAATGACCACCACTGTCGTAAGAACGAAAGAGTTTGCCAGTTGAAAAGAGATCCACGAATTAAATGACATTTTCCTTTCCGAATGCTTCTAAATAAAATTGCTAGTGCCGAGCGTCGAACCAATTTTAAATTTCTTACAGAACGAGGAAAGCCTAGGTTTATGGAGGAAACCTACAGTTCCTTCGCTTGTTCCGAAGAGTCTCATTCTCGTTTTGGCCTTGAAATTTAGAAACCATATTTCATTCAGCTTTGGACGGCAAGGAAAGCTCAAAGGATGATCAATCAAAACTTGGCTACTATAATAGCTAGCTAGCTAGAGCTGCTACTAGCAAGCTACCGTAGCTAGAGCGGGCCCATAGCGGTACCACCAGTAGTTGCTATCCCTCTGGTTTGCTTTCGAATTCTCCTACGGTAGCTACTAGATGGGGATAACCAGGAAAGGAGCTTAAACCTGCTTTGTTCAACTCCATCATGACTGCCAGTGGCTGCTCTGATACTAGTAGATTGACTTGGATGCATCTTGGCGGAGCATGTTCAATACGGCATAACACACGGGTGCTAGAAAAGAGGTGCAGCTTTTCAAGTTTCCAGTTGAGATTTTAACGATGTGTAACCAGTGGCGCTCGACCGCAGCTAGTCTAATACTACACTGTACATCCCTGGCTCAATAACTGCAAACTTTGGTGGTGTTGCAGCAAGAAAACAGGTCCTGGTCAGAGGTGCTTGCCAATGGTACCTATTAATAGTACCGGTACCGGTATGGTGCTCTGTGGGAGGCTTTGCCAATTGTTTTCTTAAAATAACGGTAAATATATCGAGTCCATTGTGATCTTTTCAGGTCTCATTTACACTTCCGTACCATCAGAAAGCTGAATGCTCCAAAGGCCTTCAAGAAGGATATTAACAGACACGAGTTTCACCGCAGATTGTAGTACACTCTACTTATTACTCAATTCCCACGTTGATCTGGGGACTTCTCCATCTTCAGCTTGGTTGATTCACGATCTAAGTATGGAATCGTGGATGGAACATCAGCTAGTTATATTAACTCGTGCTTTAACGGCCACTGGTTCTTGCCTGCTCTCTCGATCTCAAATGATTTTTCAAGCCGTCACGGCAAAGGACGACTCGACTCCCGCAAGCAGGGCGAGATCTGCTCTTGAAAGCTCTGGAACGGCGTCACAATTTCTTTTCAAATGGTAAGATGTGCGGTTGCTTCATTGAATGGGATCTGGTTTGATTTTTATGTACAGGAATGTGCAATAACATATACCATAACTTGAGACCAAAGAGTATATACATGTTCTCTCCTAAGCCGCTATCGTCGTCGACCACTGTTGTTCTACTTCTGCGATCATTTCCTTCACTATTCCTTGCCCTTGGAACTCCCACTCTGCATTTCACACAAGACAAAACAAAAAACAAAAGAAACAAGGCTCGTTGGAAACATCAGTTTTTGGTGGATCAAGGACAAGGAATGAGCAGAGATGGTCGTGACAAACGTGTACCGGTACGGTACTGACCCTGGAGGTTCTTTTCAGCGCAGAGCAAAAACTCATCGCAAACACTTCCGAAGACTTCAAACTTCTTCAGCTTCTTAGCGAGTGGGATAATATAAAAGTTAAAGAAGGCTTTCTCTCCTTGATACCAGAATTCGCTTGGATCCTTTGATGAACGACCTTCCTTGAAAGCACGGTACATCTCGTGGTAAAGACGTCTGTTCCATTGCCTGCGGATTGATGAAGGTGCGAGAAAACAAGTATTTTTCGCGTGGGTGTACAGTGGGGATCCAATGCAAGTTAACTTGAGCACATCGATATGTACCTGTAAGCATTCCATGGTTGCATTGTGTGGCAAACATCTGCCGGCGAGATGCACGAAAGATCGGCCAGTAAGCGACATCCCTCTGACATCATGATGGGCATGACATCTGATTTCCTGCACTAACCTGATGCTTGAATGAGGTATTCAACTCCAATTGTAGCCCTTCGTTGGATGTTTTCTTCTATGTCACTATCATTGTGCTCCTCGGAAAACGCTTTCTGAATGCGGGCTTCTCTGAAAGCTCTCATTTCCTTACTGCAGATGTCGGTTGCAATGACTAAGTTTGTTACAAGATGGCGAAATTGATTCATCTCTGCCTCATCTCCATAGATTGTCCTTCGTAGCATGGTGTTCTTTGGGAGCAAGAAATAGGCCCATGCCTTGTCCAAGCTAGAGAAGATTGCCAAATACAGAGCAAAATGTATTGTGAGGTCCATCCACAGACACTGAATAATGCCACATGCCACAGCAGACCGGGGTCTCCAAGATTGTTAAACGTGAAACACATCCACTGCACAGAAGAGAATGCCGTTGCCTTTTTGATGCTCACCTGTTTTGTTCGGCCAAAGCTTGGCCTTCGTACAACTTATCCATTTCAGGGTGTTCTTTGGCAAGCTGAGTGTTTGGCACGCCATCATGATCCGCATCATGCAACAGGGACTTTGGAGACAAGGACTGGGATGTGAGGCTGCCGGACGAGAGGATTACCGGCAGGCTGCCTGCTTGTTCCAATTGTGGACTTACCGCAAAGATACACGCAAACTGTGTCATGGGATCTATGCAAAACATGGAAACAAGCAATGAGCTTCGCCAGGAGAGTGGAAGCAGCAGCAAGGAACAAAATAACCCATCGTACCGGTTGAGATCCCGTACGCTTGACTCTTTCCCGTTGGATCTGGCACTGCCAAAGATGACTTTTCACTTGTCATGCGAGACAGAAGCTTATGCATGCTCATAGTAACTGATGCCGAGTGTTCAAAGTTGTGCTGAGCCAAGAAACCTGCAGTCAGCGAGATAGCCACTGATGACACATGATCCTTCGAAACATGTTCGACTTACGAAAGGATTGTTGTGATAGAGGGAAGCGATATGGACAACAAATTCCCTCAGTTGCTGCCCTACTTCTGGTGGCAGAACTATAGACATCGGATCCTCCTCCAGCTTGTCCACATCAGGATTGAATACAGGAATCTCGATGATTTCCGACAAGTCGCCCAAAGGGACATGGTTCGAAAAAGTACGCTCGTCGACAATACTGGCACCACAGCTCTTGCCAACGCATCTCATGCGACCTTGGCGAGCCGTGAAATTGGCCTTGGCGTTCCGGTGGGCCACAACCCGCCGTAGCAAGCGCTCTAGTGTCCTGTAGATCCAGTCAACCAAGAGCTCGACTCTGTTGGACGGAATCCCATAGGCCTGATCCACAAAGTGTTTCCTGGATTCAACCAACTTCCCGTTGCGTTCACTCTCGACACGATTGGCTTCGTTGGATGCCTTACCTAAGATGTACTCCATTGCCTCAAGAGCAACGTCGACATCCACAGTAGGCAAGTAGTTCTCGGAGGTAGCTCGTATGATATCGTCCCTGGGAGTTTCACAGGGGATGAGTATGCGGCATGAATGCGTCTTCTGACGGCATCGTGATGGTCGAGCACACTCAAAGCTAGCTTCACTTACCTGTAGTTATGACTGGCTCCGGACGACATGACGGGGAGCGTGCCATACATTAGCACTTCTCCCTTCAAAATTTCATCTTCAGCATTCTTCTCAATCCCAAGACCAGCACGGTCCGATTGCATCTTTCCCAGCGCCTTGGAGATGTCGAGAATTTGACTAGCCCTGACAGTGCGGATTTCCTGGTAAACCCTCATGGCTTTCTCGAAGTTTGTTGGATCGAACTTCCCTGTCTTTTCGTCGATACAGTATATCTTCATCAGAGCAACCGCCACACCGGCATCCTCCAAGCCCTGCTGGGCGCCTTGGCCGACATAAGGCACCGGAGGATGGCATGCGTCACCCACAAGAGCCACTCTGCCCTTGACCCATGTGTTGAGCTTAGGTTCCAAAAGGGCGAAGCCAACACGAACCGCATGAATGCAATTATCCAAAGGCTTGATGAACTTCTCGTGCCATCCTTCTGCACGTAGTTGCTTGGCGATCTTTTGACATTCCTTCTGTCCCACAGAGTCCGAGAGGTTGCCCCAATTCAAAGCGTTGGCCTCGTCTTCCGTGACAGGCATGTGAAATTGAAAGCAAGTCTCCTTCACACGCGTAGGGAAGAAGACAGCATGGAAGTTTTCCTTATCTGAGCTGGGGAAGTAGATCCCATCGCACTTGACATTGGCCAACCCCATCAAGCAGGTGGTGCCAGTGTACTTGAGTGCGGGCTCGTCCTTGCCTGCTACAATTGACCTTGACTTGCCCAGGGCACCGTCTGCCCCGAAGAGAACCTGAGTGAGCCGCGTGCTGCCATCCCCAAAGGTTACCTTCACCAAGCCATCGTTTTGTTGCTCCGCTGAGACCAGCGGCTTCTTGTACCTGATGGTTATGCCCTCCATAGTTGCAAACATAAGGAGCACTCTCTGCAATGTCGAACGACGAATTCCAATGGAATCTAACTCACTCTCTTCTCCTGACAAGACCGACTCTTCTGCTTTCATGACTTCCTCGCCGTTGTGTCTTTCCCAGTGTCGGCACTTGTACGGGTATCCTGAGCTTCGAACGCAAGTCAGGAGCTCGGGATTGATATCTCGGAGGACCCTCAATCCGTTGGGATACATCCCCAAGCCTGGGAGAGATGCAGGAAAAGGCGATATGTGAGCGGCAAGCGGCAAGAACGATGGGCGTGACACGCAATGTCCATCACTTACCTGCCCCGGCTTCCGTGGCAAAGGTGGTCGCTTTTTCGTAGATTTCAGGAACAATTCCGAGCTGCTTTTTGATGGTCATTGCCAAGGCAAGTCCGACGATCCCCCCGCCAGCGATGACGAACGTTGCGGGCTCTTCTTCATCAGCCATGGTGTCTGCTTTTCGTTTTGTTTCGCTTGGTTTAGTTTCAGGCGGTTAGATTTTGTGAGACGAAAGGAGTGATATGATTACTGTGGCACCAGAGCTTGGGATATGTGCAGTCGCTCGACGGGTCACAACATGTTTATGTCCCAACCACCGCCATGAAATTCTTGAGATTGGGGGCAATGGGGCATCCCGAACTCCGCTTGCGCATGGCAACATTCCATAAAGGCGGACACGAACCCTGACACAGGCCAAACGGTGAAACTGGGCTTGTAGATGCCGCCAATGACCTACTGTGCTCCTCGAACAGAGAAGGAACGTACCAAAAGCCACAAAAGCAAATAAATGCTCTGAGGAGAACACGAACTCTGCGTCATGGAAAAGGCTTGTCAGCGTTCGCTTGTCCTTATCTGGTTTCTGATGTAGTGCTCGCCATAATGCAATGCCTCGGCATCTCCTTGCCTGCCTTGCAAGAATGAGAACAGCTGAATAGAGTTGCGGAAGAACGATTCTTCCTGGCATACTTTCATCGCAGTAAT